GCATCCTGTTGTCAGAAGGAAAGGAGTGAGTTTTCACTGGTACATGTGCTGGTGACTGGTGCGAACTGCGAACATAAGATAGTGCCTATGTACCGATGGCACATGTTCGCAAGCAAAGCTTGCAACAACGTTCGTAGCATCTTGCTTGCGTCAAAGTACCGATGTTGGAGTTGGCGCTTGGAGAACTTCGGCTCGTGGTTCCATTCAACAAGCAGCTGGTGTTTCTGCGACAAGATAATCACGAAAGCTAGCTCCTTGGAGCTTGCAGGAGTTGTTGTTTACAAATTTCATTTTTGGAAAATTAGCAAGGAGGCCCCCTTCTTTTCGATATATCAAGGACTTCCAGTTTCGCAGGGGAGGGTGGCCCCACCCCCTCCCCCACCTTTTGCTTGATTCTTCCAGACTTAGCTTTTCGATTAGGGATCCCCCCGCCTCAAGGCCCCCCCCCCTCCCCTCCAGGTCCCTTCGCTCTGTCGGTTTTTGGTTTCAATGGGTTGAGCTATCGTGCTTGCCGTGGATGCTGATTCTGTCATGCATGCTTATTTGTGGTCCATCGGCATTGCAATGCGCTCGGCAACTTTCTCCGCAAGGTTTGGCTCGTGTACAGGACAACTCGTGGCCAATCATTTGATCCATCAGTATCGGACTGCAGTTGAAGATGAGCACAGCTAGAGAACCACGCTGCAGTTCTGGTTTTTTCTTGCGCCTGGCCGCACTCTGTAATCTGGCACGCTTTTGATGGCAGCATGGTTTCCTAGTCATTTCAGCTAGCTTTCGTCAGCCCTGTTCTCAAGTTGTTGGTGGTAGTTGCTGGCACATCGGCTGCTCGTAGTTCAGAATGGAACAGTTGCATGAACAGGCCAGCGCCCAGCTAAAGTTATCCGTTTACGCCATGTCGATTGCCTGACTTCCATACCCCGACTATTTCGTGGCTAAAGTAGAATCCAAACAGCCAACTATTCGTGCCACATTGTGCTCTGGAATAGTAAGATTCGCATAGGTCAGTACAGATTATCCAAAAACGTATGACAACATACCGAGTGTTAAACGATGATTTGCACTCTTTGCGAACAGTAAATGAAAGCATGTAGGAATGCACGAAAACAGTGCACGATGAATTGTTTTGGGTACGTGAAAGAAGCTCGTAACGGGGTATCAGAACGCATAGATAGTTTTTCGTAACATACCAGTTCGTACCAAAGTACATAGCTCTGCAATCGCTGATCTACCATGCTGCATCAGAGCATATGCCAACATGATGTTGTGCACTTTCATCACTGCAGAACGGCGTTGATGAGCATCCATGTAGTAAATGCTATCAGATCAGAAAAAGCCCTGGTATATAGCAACCGTAGTAGTTTACAGCGGTGCATACCAGCATATAGTGGTGGCTGATTATCAACAGCTGCAAATTCAGAATGGTATTTGGGAAGAAACCGTAGAGCACACCATGGCAGAACATGGAACTACGCAATTGGAAGCCCGAGCTATGTGTCGGAGCACATGGTTGCATAAAGCAGAGCATAAGATATCGCACAGTCGCACATAGGAAGCATGAGCATACGATCTGCATGTAGTAATGTACTTGTGCACATGTTCATATTTGTGTCTGTCTGTAAAGTATTATCTACACTACATTCTACATACATATCTGCATGGGTGCATGTAGCAATAAAAGCATAAGTACATGAGTATGTACGCAGGCAACCAGCCACGATTTGTGTTGTTCCATGCTCTTCCAGTCTATAGTTTGACGTTGCTTGTAGCGAATTTTTGGCGGCTTTTTTGGTACCATCCGTTTTGCTCTCCCTGCACCGAAAAGATTCGTCACCGAGTACTTGTCTTAAAATGCGGCAACACGCCACATAAGGTGTGGAGAGTGCCCTTTTCCTGGCAACGAAGCACGGCGGCCTTGGCGTCACCTTTTGTGAATCGACGAGCAAGGCACTTTGTTGATATGGCATGGCCGGCATGGCATGATGTGCAAGTAGTTTGGCACTTGACAGTATGGTAACGACTGCGCGTGCAGGCGCCGCTGTGGCGAGATCTCGGCAAACGGATTGCAGCCTTGCGATGGGCCCGGCGCCTGCTCGGTGCCGCCCCGCCCGGTGGTGCAACTCGGCCTTCATGTTTCTTTTGTCGAACCAATGCTCCTTGCTAATTAGGAACTCAAAGGTTCGATGTCGCGACGACATTATAGCATGTTACAGTATGTTGATTTGATATGATTGTGTTGGCTTCGCCGATCAGCCTGAGGTGTTGGCCTGTGCGCTGGCAGGCCAGCGGATTGCGCAGACCGTTGTTCACGGAGCTGCAAAATAGTTGAGTTGCGTGAGTTTTGCACTGCACTTTCACTGTCAGGTGGTATCGTGGATGTACTAGATGCATCCAGTATGACCACCGTCTTCAAGCTGGATGCTGGTTCCAGTACTCGGCCAGATGCAGTCGGTGTTGCGACCAATCCCCTCATGGATGGTCTGTGGGTCCTGTATTCCGATAGATCATTATCGTTTTTTTCAGACAGTGCTGCTGCAGCCTGGACACTGCCCGGAGCTGTGTGTGACCTCCGGGGCTCCTACACGCTGCCAGGCAACATCCTCACGCGGGTTGTGTCCTACTCGAGCTGGAGTGTACAGCTTTGGACAAGGCCCCTGCATGGAGACTTGCGGCTGGAAGTCCAGACCGAACCGGCTGCTGCACAGGGTTGCGAGCTGACAGCTCTCGCTGTCTCGCCCTGGGTTGTTGCTTGTGGACATGCCAACGGTGAGGTGAGGCTGCTTGCAGCTCTTCACGGCCTTGGTGAACTTGGGCTTATGCCATCCAAGCATGCAGCAGAGGTCTTGGGACTAAGCTTTGGGCATTGGAAGCCCGCATCTCTACGGCCTGTTCTGCTGGCTTCGGTCTCACAAGATCGTAGCGCCCTCGTATTCAGCATAGAGCTTCAGCAGAGCAGTACTGGCATCGAGTCCAGCCGAGCTAGCCTCCTGATGCACCTGCAGCATCACTCGTCGCCCGTGCAACATGTTGCCCTTCTGACTGCGCCAAGCAGCTCACCAATGGGCAGCGAGATATTTCGCGTCGTCGTTTGCACATCTGACCAGTTGATTTGGCGAGAAGCCGAGTCCACGGAGAGCCTCGCCTCTGTGCACAAGTGTGCCCGACAGCAGGCAGCACGGGGCTCTCGGTGGGTCGGAGTGTGCAATGATGCTGCTCGAGGTTGCTTCTATGCAGCATGTAGCAATCGGCGCGTGCTGCAGCTGGATCAAGCTGGTCGCCGAACTGAGGAGGTCGTCATCGGTGGGAGCAACGTCGAGATTGTTGGGCCGATCCAGCTGAGCAACGATGGAAGATTCCTGGCCGCCATCCTCAAAGGTGCAGCGGGAGTTCTGCTGTTCGCCGTCGAAGGCTGCTTGCAGCCCCTTGCCCGGTTGGCGGCTGGGCAGGCTGATCCACCCAGGGGAGTTTCATTTTTACCAGGTGATCAGATGATTGCCTGTTGGACGGATGGCACCCTGCTGGGCTGGAAAGCCCCTGGCACACAAATAGCTCGTGCAGCTGGCTCGCACGAACAGGTCCAGGCTGTGCAGGGAGAGGCTGTGCGACGTGCCATATCTCCCAGAGAAGCCGGAGTCGGAGTGATTGCCAGAGCCACAAAGCTTCGGCCGGCTAGTGGCAGCCCACCTCGCGGTAGACGCAGTGCTCGCGGGCCTTTGCGCTCGAGCTCCAGTGCCCTGGCGCCTCGCAAGCCAATGCCACTCTCTGCTCGAGGCGCCGTGACGAGCCAGCAAGGCCAGCAGCATTGGCCACCGAAGACATCCAGGTCAAGCCTGGGTGAGGAGCGGATGCGAAAGGATCCCATCAAATCGAACATTCAGGCCCAGGCAACCCAAAGCATCAGAGAGAAGGACGCTCGGGCCAAGAGGCTTCCGGAAGGCCTGCGCGAGCTTCGACGCTTGTTGGCCTCTTCCCCAAGCCCGCCGCGCTGGGCAGAGGCCGAGGCTTCGGCTGAGGCCTCCATCGAAAAGAGCAGCTTGCTGTGTGGTGACAGTGAGAAGGAGGAGCCTGGGCCTAAGGAGCCTAAGCCAAAGCCACCGAATCCGCAGGTGGCCCAACCCGCAGAGCTTGGGAAGTGGGCTCGGGGAAGCTTGGTCGGTGCCCAGGTTCGCTCCGCATCCGACCTGCACCGTGTCGGTCCCAGAGACGAGCTGGAACAGGAGGTTCAAGTCCGCTGCGCATCGGAAGGAGCACAAGGACGCTGCAGAGGGGTTTTGAAGCGACGGCTGTTCATTCAGCCGCTTCCTCCGAAGCCTGTTTTTCCACCTCCCGATCAAGGCGATCAAGGTCCTGTGAGTGCCCAGCACCCACTCGAAGTGAGTGAGATTTCGTCAGCACATTGTGCAGGCATTGAGCGCCGACGAAGCACCGACAGCTGCCTCGAAAGTGTTGACAGCAGCAAGGGGACCCGAGCTCCGCCAGCACCTGCTCTGCCAATCTTCTTGCTACCGACACCATGCAGGGGACGTCAGGACCAGTTGCCGCTGAAAAGCCCAAGTTCGGAGCTTGAAGACTTAGTGGACACCGTTGTCACCTTGAAGACGCGGCTATCTGCCATTCAGCCTGACAGGCTGCCAACCCAAGAGGCGAACTTGTTGTTGGAACCTCTCCAGAGGTTTGAGCTGATGCTGCGGTCCCAAATGAAGAGCAGACAGGCGACATAAGCTCCGCGTGGAGAGCACAGCGCTCTCCTGATGTCTCCACGACATTTCTCGTGTATGTGAGGCGTGTAGACTTTCTTAATTAATTTGGGTCGTGAGCCCCCCATGCGCACTGTTCAGAACCCGGGGTTGGGCGACAAGGTCCCAACCCTTTGTGCAAACACAATTCAGAATGCGTGTGCATGACAAGCCCATGCATAGCTACCGTGATGAGAATTTGCAGTTTGGTAGGATGCTCAACACACACCGAGGGACTGGGCTTGTATCCCGGATGTTACGATGGAGGTGTCGACCAGCCACGGCTTCACCGTTGTCACTCCTTAGTCGAGCCACGCTGCTGCCCAGTTTCCAGGACAGGCCTGTCACTGTGCTCAGTGTGACCTTTACAGAATCCATTGTCCGCACATCTGCAAACCCTTGGCTTTCTGTCCAAAGCCGGGAAACCAGCACCGATCAGCTCAGCGCCCAACTGGGGCAGGACGCGGAGGCTTGGAAGCACGAGTGGGCCTCCAGCGTCTTCCAAGCAGCAGATCTGGCAGCTTTGCGTCGCGAAGGCACCGGGCCAAGGAAGTCGATGCGAATGACCTGACCTAGTTAATGCAGCTCCGAGGCTTTGTGATTCTTCCCGGGGCCTTTGACAAAAGCCTTGCCTTCGATGCCAAGGAGGAGTCTTGCTTAAGACGAGAATGTAGCCGATTTGTCCATGGTAACTTCTGGACACGTAGACTCAGAAGCTCCGCTGTGGAGCTGCGTGCTGCTACTCGCAGATGTCTTTGACTGAAACGCATGCCTGCCTGTTTGCGTTTATGTACGGAAGGACTTGTCCGACACACACTACGCACCGAAGCACACACCATGCGTGGGATTGATCGCTGGTGCAGGAGTGTGAAGCTCTGGACGGTTCGGCCACCACCGTGACGACGAACCGCTGCAACCGCGGGCCGGGGGGCCCTTTGAGAGTCAGCGCGGCCGCCGTATCTTCAAATCGAGTCTGCTCCGAGGTCCAGGTCTGCGTGGCTGGACTTTGGTGAACCTGCGGTTGCTTGGCGGAAAGGGAATCGGAGAGTCTCGCAAAGCTTGGATTTGCCCTGAGGGTCTGACAGAGCTGGAAACGCGCCTGCCAGCGCTCAGCCGTCTCGGGCGAATGCTGGCAGGTGGACCCTTGAAAGCCTTAAGCCTTAATCTCACTTCAGCAGTACGGCACGGACAATTGCCTCCAAGGAAACTTAATTGAACAGTGCATATGCAGATTTGTGGCGCTGCGTGCCCCTGCATTTGCTTGACAGGGCTGCCGGCTCATGTGCATGGACTCGGGGGCTTTGGCGAGGCACACTGGAAGAACTGACTGTAATGTCTTTTCCGCCAAACTTCATGGCAGGAACTCAAAGTCCATCCTGCAGCGATGTTTCTCGGCTGGTATTGGAGTACTGCGACATCAGCATCAACTCGCATGCGCGATTTATGACTCGCGGCATGTTGTAGTTGTGGCACGCACGGCGACGTGCACAAGTTAAACGCTGCAGGCAGAACTTGCACCAGCCGCGTTCTTCAAGCTGCTCTTGCGGTCTTCGCTCTGCTGACCTTGGCTAGGATCGCCGTCTACCCGGAACAAGCGGCTGCATATGCCTTGCACAAGGAGCACCTGGCAGCTAGGCCGTGCTAGGCGAGGTCTGCGGGGTCCAAACGACACCAAGAGTGACAAAGAGACCGCACAATGGAAAAGGACTCGTATGCGCCATCCGACAACGACCCGGCCACGGGCGCCACCAGACGGCTGACTGTGCTGGCGTACTTGAATGTGGCTGAGATTCATTTGACATGCAAAGCAAGGTGGTTGACCCACCGACACTAACGGCAATATCACTATCGCTCAATCAGGACTGGCATGACGGGTATGGTGGAGAGCTGCGCATCCACTCCGGTGGCGAGCGGCCGGACCCAAGGCAGGTCCCTGCGCTCCTGTCTCACCCTCTTCCGCCTCTTCCTCATTTCGGTCACTTGAGGCGCTATCGGAATGTCGAGCCCAAGGCCTGTGCGCAAATGCAGAGGATGAGATGACGTTTGACAGAGATGAATCATGCCTAGGCTGGCACCGTGGTGCTTTTTGACAGCCGCAGGATCTGGCAACTCGGCAGATAATTTCAGGTCCTTCCTACAGGCTCTGACCATGCCAAACCATGCCAAATCCAAGTATGCAAGCATAGACAGTATAGATTCCCCATACAGTGATCGAGCATCACGACGACTCTGACGACCACGACAACCATGACGGCCACGCCGACCAGGACGACCACGGCCAGCACGACCACCAGGACCACCGACACGGCAAGCCCCACAAAAAACCAGCGAAAGGCGCCGGAAACCACCACATCCACCAGGGTACTGGCGGGGTGAGTACTGGCGGATTCAGACGTGATCAACGTGCTTCCATTCGTGTCCTGGTGGGATTCAGGACCACGGCCAAAACGCCTCCCCCCATGTACTGGTGGGGTTCAGAGACGCCAGCAACCATGCTTGCGCACATGTACTGGCGGGACTCAGAGTGACCAGCTGCGAGGGTGTGCAGTGTGCACATGTGCAGGGTGGGTGTCCGCCATGAGAGATCACCCGTTAACACGACTCATGAATATTGACCTCCCGAACTAGCATTGTGTGTGGGTAGACCCGCAAGCCCGAAGAAAGAAACGAAGCACTGTAGCGATACTACCAAGGCACGCCGTGGCCCCTTCACTTCACGGCAACCGCTGGGCCATGACGCTGTGGGTTCATTGATCACTGAAGCGGACAGTAGCGGGCAACGCACCACCATTGTCCAGTGGCTTTTGGAAGGACAGTCCTGTGCAAATCCAGGATATCCTCGACGAGAGGGCAGCAATTGCTTCAGTTAATGCAGTGCCTGGTCGACCGGCTCCCCAAAGAATGGGAGCAACGAGCAGGAGATAGTCGGTAATGGTGGTTCGTAATATGATGGATACGAATCGACACCGTGTGGCATGCATTGAGGTGTTGCCGAGGAGTCTCCATCTTGCGATTGTGAACAGGTTGCGAGGGGAGGATCCGGCTTGCTGCTGGCTAGGCTTCCGACCCAGCTCTGCCTAATCGGCTCAAGTGTGAAGCTCGCGGCTACACTTTTCCTGCCCGGATCAGGGCACCCCCCCGAGCTGTCCCTAGCTGAGGTACGCCTTGCGACAGCCAGGAGGTGCGAGCCATGCAACATCATGTAAATCGCAATCGCAAGTGCCGCTGGCTATATCCGGTGTAAGGTGTCCTTGTTGCCTTCGCAAAGGCCTGACAGCTTTCCCGAGCCTGGATTCCCGTGCTGACACGGCCTAGGGCCTAGGACTCTTTGTGGTACCCCCTTCGAGAGGTCGCAGCGTGGACGCGCAAATGGCAGATCCTAATTTCGATCTGCAGATCACGGTGAGTGCTAATCAGTCTTGGACCAGCCAGGCAATGCTTTGTCTCATTCCTGCTAGGGTTTAGAGTTCAGGGCTCAGGGCGTAGGATACTACACTACATGTACATGGGTTCGCTATTGTAGGATTTGGGGCTTTGGCGTTAAAGATAGTTATTGAATTTACAAGTTTTTCAAAGCGCAATATGGTTTAGGGCGCCTGTCACCTCTTTATCCTCTTTGTAGTCTCAGTCAAAGTACTTGCAAACGCAAGACTTTGGAAACAGCGCAATACAGGGCGACAGCAAAAAGAAGTTCGCCAGCTGCGCTTCTAAGTCACGTGCTGGTTGGCGGATGAATTTCATGAGGCCTCGAGGCCATGTTCAAAAGCTTCACTGTTCCCGTTGACACCTGCTACTGGTAGCATTTGGCCGACCTGCGACAGGCAAATTGCAATGTGCAAGACCTGTGGGGATTGTCGGCTGGGCACAGGCCGTAGGGAAAGGCTTCACACAAAACACAAAAAGAGCATTTGAAGAGGGCTTTCTCATGGTCTAAAAAAAGACTTTTTAAGCCAAGCTCCACGCTTCAGGGTTGTAGACGTACAGCGCAGCAGCCATGTCGCTTCGTCGCTCTGACAGTCCCAACAGTTGGGGCACGGCCTCTGGTGAAATCAGGCGCGTGGGAGCATGACAATGTCATGGTTGAAAGAGTGATGGCGATTTCTTAAAGACTGTCTGGAAGGTCTTTATCTCCCGCAGATCGGACCTCAGATCAGCACCTTTTCTGAGCTGCGAGGGCAGCGTACATTTGCACTCAAGGTCAGTGTCGTCAATCGCGACTCCTTTGGCGATGCGCTGACGCAGATCCTGAGCGAGCTTGAAGAGACGCTTTTGCAAGCGCAGCTTGAATGCAACCGGACAGTTTTTTTGATGTGCTGACTTAGACGACCCTGCTGGCTGCAAGGCATGAGCTCAGCACGGGCTCTGGTCGCAGGCGATCAAGGCCCTCGGAAACGGAAGCGGAGCAAAGCGCAGCGTGTTGACTCTCTTTCACGACGCTCTTATCGGTCAGGGTCGAAGGCATGGACCAGTCCAGCGAGTCCGGCCTGAAAGAGGCGGCAAACGCGCATGCGGCCCACGGCCTCTCCTTTCGAATCCTGTAAAGAGAGATGGGATGCTCCTGTCAACTCCAGGGTCCGGCGCCGAAACTCAGCTTCCGTGTGCCCCAGATGCAGCCAAGTGCAGCAAGCGGATGCAAGATAGAACTTCGAACCCCCGTGCTCAGACCTAGGCTGACCCGATTCGCATTCGTCCAGTGGCCTCAGCCACTTGGCAGGCAGGAACGCCTTGTTCAGAAATGCTGAGAGGGTGACGTGCTTTTATTTCCTCGTGCTGTAGCTGATATCAAAAGTGGGCCGAACCCAGCTACTCCCAATTTCGAACCATCCTCAAAGAATCGCAAAGACCCTCCGGAGTCACTAGCTGACGCTATCCGCGGTTGCTAAGGACGGCGAGAACTTTACAGCGCCTCCAAGGAAGCGTAGCAGTGCATCCGAGCTGCATGTGGCAACTTCAGTCTTGCGTTGAACATGGCATAGCATTGCATGGTAGGTATCGTCGTTGCAACTCTCCTTTGGCTTCTAGAGCGCGTTCGAGCATGCTTGCCTGCTTCTTGTCGTGACAGTCCATGTGGAAAGGCATGGAAAGGCTTTTCTGTAAGTTGTGTCAAGATCCAGCCGGTGTGCCGTTTCCGGTCGTGATGGGCGGAAACTCCACAAGTGCAGTACTTAAAGCAGGTGAGACGTACTCACAAAGCATGACCCCAAAGTCCTAAAACCTTAGCCTTAAACCTTGAAGGAAGCCTGACAATATTGCCCAGCACGCATTGCCTCAATTGTTAAACCCCCCAAGATATAGTAGCAGTCACTGTTGTGCTTTCATGTTGCGTCACCTTCAGCAAGGGGATGTTTCGAGATCCGACATCGTATCCGGCATAACCGAAAACCTTAAGGCCCAATGTCAATGCAGTACACAAGCTCAAACAACACATGGTAAACATTTCCGGAACCAACGGACAATGCGGGTCGAGAAGCCGAACCGTCAGATCCCCAACGTCCTCGGTAGTCTCAATCGCGACCAGCGGCCACCTGACAGACCCCCAGAGGTACTCCGAAACAGTACTCATGTGTGCCCCCCCCCCCCCCCCCCCGGTTCTTAAAAAGTTTCGGGTGCGCCCTCCTTCAACAGGAATGGGACATCCTTACCCCTGAAAGGATTCCATGTGATTCTACGCTGGCATATGCTAGAGCTTCTCCTGTGCCTGAGTGGTGTTGGTGGACCGGCTTATGCTCACATCGCTCACATCCATCTTTTGCTTGTCGAGTGCTCCGGAAGCCAGCGAGGTCTGTCGAAAATCTACCAGCTCAGCTGCATCCTCAGGGCATTTTCTCATTTTGCAAGCGACACTACGGTGGCAAGGGGAGCTCAGAGATTGTGTTGCAATCTCAAACCGAAGCTGAGCGAATAGTTTGCAATCATCTTCGGGCACTTGAGGCTCGCAATCGCACAAGGCGCATCCACCGGAAGTCATGTGCAGCTGCCTGGATTTCCAGGCGTTCTTGCTCCACTGCTGACCAGGCAAAGCTTTGCCAACCCGAAGCTGTCAGCGGTAGACCCAAGGACACGGAGAGCTTCATAATTGTCATGTGTCCCCGGCGACATGTCCTGACTGATCGGCAAGTCTCAGAGGAGCCTTCACAACTCTATTGCCGAGAAGCGCATCTCGGAGGAGTCTGAAATGAAGGCAGCACAGCCATTATCAGTCTAGTCAAACACCATCGCGACTCGAGCTGTACACTAAGTACAACTCAAGCACACGAAATGCAAGCATATACGATTGGAGCGCCCGGCAGTAAGTCGAGCAATTCAAAGACGCGAGAGTCAAGCTCAAGTTTAGGATTGTACGGGTTGCGTTGTGGGGCCTAGGGCGTGTTTTGTTGATGTTGTTGAGGGTGTTTAGGTTTGTTTGAGGGTTTGTGGGTTTCAGGGTTTAAGGATGTTAATTTTTATGTTTCGTGTTACGTTGGGGCTGTGAATGGGGCTTGGGGTGTTGTGAATTCAGGGTGTTCAGGGTTTATGTTTTGGAAGGGTCGGTACGTTAGACCCGCTAAAGTCTAAAAAAGGTTTCGTTAGTGTAAGGGTATCAGGGTGTACGGCTTTCATGCTTCAGGCTTTGATTTTTACAGGTTTCTGTCATCCCGTCCGCGAATGTGCCATGTGCGTGCGCGATTCCACCGTGTGCAAACTCAGTGTGCAAACCGTTTTTCTGCCCGAACGGCCTGATACCTTAGCTGTGTTACATGTTGTCCCACACCCGCAGTTGCACCAGTGAAGATGCCACTTTGAGATGAGATTGCTCCATCAGTTTGCAATTTTGCAGGGTCTGTTGTGGCACACGTGTGTGAGAGGAACAAACAGCTGCGATCGCCGCAGCTACTGTGGCCCGATCGCCTTTTCGATTTCCCCTGTTTTTTCGCCTCTCCTGATATGGCATCCTCCGGGTCTTCGCCGTTCTCCGCCGAGTTCGCGGACTTCGCGTCGGCTGCCGGCCTTGATGTGGTGGGCGGCTCTATTTCGCCCGTCCACCGCGCCAGAGGACACACCTGCGAAGGGCCTTGGGGGAGCGAACGCCGAGCCCCCCACGTCGGGCAAGCCAGCGGTGATCGAGGCGCCTGGGCAGTTGCCCATGCCGGCTTTCTTTCGGGCACCGGGCCCGCGAACATCACCGCGCCCACGCCAAACCCTTTCAACTTCGCCGATGTGGGTGTTCAAAACGGGGTGCCAACTTTGTCTCTGCCGAGTTGGCGGCTGCCCTGGCATCGTTGTCGACTGAGGATTTTTCTCGCCTGGCGGCGGCTGGCCTTCAGGCCCAGCCCCTCGCCGGGCCGGCACTTCGTCGCGGGACTTGGCCGTCTGTGCACCAGGTGGCGGCTTCTGGCGAGTCGCCTCCGGTCGATCTTGGACCATCGACAGAGCGGCTCGACAGCTGAGGCGCCTGGGCCAACGTCACGGTCCCTGACGACGAGGAGAGAGCTAATGCCGCAGCCTTCGTGGATGGTGACCCGCAAGCCCATCAGCGCCACCGGCTACCCGTGGGCCAACTATGCTGGTCCGGTCGGGAAAAAGCTGCACTCAGATTCAATCAAATTTGTTTCCACGCCGAACGACACTCGCGCTCAGCCAGGAGCCACCACCCTGGTGTGCTTGCGACGGTCGGCACACGTCCCACCGGGAGGTTGCACAGGGGCGGGTGCAGAAGTGCGCACCGCGGCACCAGAGCCGGCCCAGGGTCGGTGTGCTCGGCCGACCAAAAGGGAGCCACCGCACCTTAATAGGAAGTTTTGGCTAGCACGTCGTTAGCGAGCTGATTGTTGCGTAGCACACGTGTGTCAGTAGGAACAATCAGCTGCGATCGCCGCAGCAACTGCGGCCCGATCGCCGATTTCCCACCAGTCCCGCCCACGCCACCCTCGTGTGCTTACTGACTAGACGGCCAACGCCGGTCCCACCGGGCGGTTGCTAACGGTGGGCGGCGGTTGCTTAGGGTGGGCGCAGAAGTGCGCACCCCGGCACCAGTGCTGCGGTTCAGAGGCGGGCGTAGTCTGTGCTACGACCAGAGGAGCCACCGCACCTTAGTAGGAAGTTGTGGGTAACACTCACGTCGTTAGCGAGCTGTTACGTTTCGTGACGCAGTCGGGTAGCAAGCGGATCTGAAACCCAGGTCGAACACAGCAACTCTACATAGCTGATGTTGATCTCTGGGCGTAGTACTTGTGTTTCCTCCGTTGGCGACGTCTTTAGCGTTGTGCTTGGTTTTTAGTCCTGGCAACATTCAATCCGGCACAATTGGGTTCGGTGTGCAAACTGCATGCTCCCTGGCACTGTCATGACATGTCGAGATGGGTCAAATCGTGGGAATACTGCGGGAATGCAGCCTTCCAATCACAGATGCACCACGAAACAGAGCTTGTCACAGTTACCTAGCCAAGCGCGCATTTGCAATCGGACAGCACGCAGATTATTTTGCGCCTGTCCTCTCGTTGCGGCAGGGGCAGTCTTGCTATGATAGCGGCTACATACCTACGGCAGTTTCTCATATGGACAGCCTCAGCGTCTCCGACGGTGAAGTCAAATACCACCCACCAAAGTGTGCAAGGTCGTCAAAAAACAAAGACAAGCTCCGCATCACAGGCAAGGCAGATGTCCGGAAACAAAGAGGAGGGCATCCTCCGTCTTACGATGGCAGCGTGGAAGGAGCGACTCGTCGTCTCTAAATAACTGATATTTTTGGCCTTCGAACGCATCCAGCTCCGTTCAACACTGACTGGGCATGTTGTGGATATTTGTAGGCATACATATTCAGGCCTCCGTGTGTCTTTGACCTTCGTTTCGTAGCTTAAGTATCTGTAAACAGACATAGGTGAGGAGCACCCGTGTGATGGTGTCGGGTCAATCCAAGCCGAGCTCCTGAGGTTTACATTCCATGTTGACAATGACGATGACGATGTTTCCGAGCACGAGCTTGAGGCAGAGATGCGGGGTGTCTGTAAAGGTGAGTTTGTTGGCACTTGTGGGATGGGCTTCTAGGCTTTCCCAGGGTCGTTAGGCTTTCCAGGTTCCGACGTTCTGGGCTCACGTTGGTTCTGGCATTTGTGGGGGTTACGTTATATAGAGCTTAACAACTTGCCGCTTTTGGGCTCAGGGGTTAGCAGCTCACTGTCTCGGAATTTCGGGTATATGATATGTGCATGTATTATTTCATATGGTGGCTTATCATACAGTAAGAGATCTCCACACCCTCAACACCCTTCGATAAACCCACAAAAAATTCCGCAACTGAACACATAAGTTCATTAGTGGTGTTGTTCGGCTCAATCTTCTTGCTTCCATACATAGCATAGCTTCTTCGTTGTATATTGCCTTCATCGTCCTCATCAAAACTGCGCAGAACCACTCTCTGAACTGCCGTAAGCAGGGGGGGGGCGCTCGCGGCCCTTCCCCTCTTCTTCCCTTCCTCTCCTCCTCTTCAGCGGCTGTGGCAACGGACAGGGCAGGGAGGGCGGGAAAAAGGATCAGCATAAGGAACAGTGGGGTGCATAAGGGGCGAAAAGCACAGCATAAAAACCCCATCTTCGAGGTGCTCAAGGAGTTCGCACACCGGGAGTGGCCGAGCGATCCGGAAGCTGTGGCCCAAGAGTTTCCCGATTTGCCAAGTCGCAAAGAACCTGCGCTTCCCCGCTGGACGCCTTCTCGCAGTGCGTCCAAGAGACTCGCACAAAATCCTTACGGATGTCCGGCCCTTTTCGTGAGTTCGAAAGAAGATAGCTATGCCACCAAGAGGGTCAATGTGGCGGTGAGTAGGTTTGTGCGGCCGTGCCCCACAGCCGTATCATTCCCTGACAGGAGTGTCAGTTCCAGGGCCATCTTGCCATCTCGAGGCATATGCTGCCTTGACCCGCATGCTGACGGCGGACCTGAATACCAGCAAGGTGGGGATCAGACCAAGTGTAAGACTGTTTCTGATTTGTCAAGTTGCTATCATGTAGGCAAAACAGCGTCGTTTTGGTCTGCAACTCTTCGTCTTTGTTGCATTCTTTCGCAATTCAATGTTTAATTCGTTTGACTGGATTCGGCATCGGCGCGAGACAAGCGGCGTCTGTCTGTGTTGACGCTCAAGATCATGAGTTCAGATCACGATGCTGGAATGGATGGCTAAGACGCTCGGTGGATGCAGGGCGAGGATGAGAGGCGAGATTCCTTTACAGAAAGCTTCTGGAGGTGGGTGTCATGCTTGTACATGTGTTCACATGTTCATGCGCACCCCGATGTTGTTGTCAGGAGACACCTTGTCACTCGGCCACACTCTCGAAAACGGATGCTGTGGGACCTCTTCGGTCTCATTCTGGTTATATGGGCGGCTTGTCTGACACACTTGCGGCCCGCAGCATTACCCGACTTCCTTGCTGCGCCTGCTCAGGACATATTTGCCATTCCCATGACTGCATTCGAGCAGCTTGGCCTCTGTGCAAACTGCATGTCAGTTCTGGGTTTACTGACCGTGTCAGCAATGCAAACCTTCATTCACAGCCAATATGCCAGTATGCATTGTCGGAACAAGCAAAGGGGTGCATGGAAGGTTGACAGATATCGCCGTCCTGACAGTCGTGAGCCGGCCTCCAAGATGCAAAGACTCACGTTGCGAGAACAAATCCTTCGTCCTCCGGCTGCAGATTCATGAATCGAAGCAACTTGCAGTGCCAAGACTGGACGAGTACCGTGTTTTGGACCATTGACCTTCCGACAAACTTCTTCAACAGCCGCGTGCTCAGACTCCCACTGAGCTTATTCGCTCACAGCGTTCCTGCCCGCCATTGCCTGCCTGTGAATGCCGGAAGCACGTAGCAGACATTAGCAGGCCTGGATTCAAGATTCTTCCTCTCAGCCGTGGGTCTGATGCTGGTTTATGTTTTTTCGGGACGAAGCTTGGCTCGAGCGGTATCATGCGGGGCGTGATCAGATGCCATCCGTGAAGGCGGACCATTTCTGCAAGAGGAAGCGAACCGTCGGCGTATGTGCTGAGCAGCCCATGACAGATCCGTGTTCAGCAGACGCATTTCAAGAGGGGAATTTTCATGCGACATTTTGCGCAGGTACAAACCAGGACTGGCATCTACGTCATCACAAATGCTCTCACAGACCACCTGAAAAAAGACACACAAGCCGCTGCCTAAGTTGCAGCGCATGGAGAGAGATGCAGTCTAACGCTATATTCAGAATCCCTGCTTTCCGTCGCGTTGCAAGTCTGGGACTCTGGTGCCCGCAATAAGCACCGGATTGCGGGTTTCATCTGGGATCCCATGACAGTGATGCAAATGCGAGTCGAAGAAAGTTTGAGGAATCGAAATTGCGAAATACAGTATTAGACGATACTTCGGGTATACTTACACACACTTAGTTCTACAGTATGATTCGTGCGCAGCTGCTGCGGTTTGTGTGTAATTGTTGGCGATTCCGCGGTGTTACCCTCACAAAAAGGCCCAGGGTATCCATGCTTGCCCGTGACCTGTGATAACATATTATGATTTCCGGGAGAGTGACTTGGCCTACCATGCAGCACTTGATGCACAAGCGCCTGCAAAAAGACGCGCTCGGGACACACATGGACAAACCGTAAGCTGCAAGTGGGGAGGTCAAGTGGCGTTCTTGGCGCACCAATCACGAAAGCTAGCCTCTGTGGCTAGCTAAGTTCCTTACCAACCGAAAGGTTGCATCTAGGGGTGTGGGGAAGGGCCCCCGGCCAGGTGGGCATTTTTTGCGCGTATTCGGGGCTATCCCCCACCTGGTGCTGGTTTTCTGCGTTTCCCCGCCGGGTCCATTTTGGGGTGTTTGAATGTGGTGCTTCGGACCGCTTCCGAGTGGAAAAACGGCTCCCCGATGATGCTCATGATGCGCGTTTGTTGGCCCCAAGAAGCTCCCAATGATGCTCGTGATGCGGGCTTGTGGCTCGGATTGGGCTCCAATGATGTTCGCGATGTGCGCTTACTGGCTCCGATGCTTATGATGCTTGCAGCTCATGATGCTCACGCGTCGCCTACTTGTTCTATGTTGGGCACCCGACCTGAAGCCATTGGCTTCTAAGCATGATATACACATGTATTTATGGTATGTTTGTGTATATGTACATATAGATAAATATACGTGTGCATGAAGCTCTGATCCAACCTCTTCCATATACTGTGTTTCTACCATTTCCGCTGTTCTATGTTGGGCACCCGACCTGAAGCCATTGGCTTCTAGGCATGATATACACATGTATTTATGGTATGTTTGTGTATATGTACATATATATACATATATATATATATATATATATACGTGTGCATGAAGCTCTGATCCAACCTCTTCCATATACTGTTTTTTACCATTTCCGCGCTTGTTGGCTCGGATTGGGATCCAAGAGGCCCCCAGTGATGTTCACGATGTGGCTTGCTGGCTCCGCTCACGCGTCGCGTACTTGTTCTATGTTGGGCGCCCGACCTGAAGCGATTGGCTTCTAGGCATATATAACATGTATTTATCTTAGTTCTCCAATACAAAACGTTTAAACTTTTGGGGTTCTTATAGTTTAGCAGTAGTTTGAAAGTTTAACCTTTTATTTCTGTGGCTATTGGGGGAGTAAGTTATGGTATGTTTTTGTATATGTACATATATATATATATATATATGTGTGTGTGTGTGTGTGTGCATGAAGCTCTGATCCAACCTCTTCCATATACTGTTTTTCTACCATTTCCGCGCTTGTTGGCTCGGATTGGGATCCAAGAGGCCCCCAGTGATGTTCACGATGTGGCTTGCTGGCTCCGCTCACGCGTCGCGTACTTGTTCTATGTTGGGCGCCCGACCTGAAGCGATTGGCTTCTAGGCATATATAACATGTATTTATCTTAGTTCTCCAATACAAAACGTTTAAACTTTTGGGGTTCTTATAGTTTAGCAGTAGTTTGAAAGTTTAACCTTTTATTTCTGTGGCTATTGGGGGAGTAAGTTATGGTATGTTTTTGTATATGTACATATATATATATATATGTGTGTGTGCATGAAGCTCTGATCCAACCTCTTCCATATACTGTTTTTCTACCATTTCATAATTTCATACTATACTAGTACTCGAATACACAGTCATATGTAATAGCAGCTGCATCTCGACGAACAAGAAGCGCAAGCAGAGCATGGCTTGGCCCGGTGGGTGTCACCCACATTGAGGGGGATGGTATTGGTGCTCATTCGAGGGGTTCAAGAGTTAGGGTTTCTGTATTTGGAGTTCAGTAGGCGTGTATGCATGCTTGCCTTCACTGGAAAAGCCTCGGTTGTTGACGCTTCTAGCTTTCGTCCCAGTCCCTCCTCCGCAAGTAAAGCGGATGAGCAGACAGAGCTTGTCTGCAGACGATGCCTGATGCTGTGCAAGAAATTGCAAGTGAGGACAAGCAAGTTTGTGGCATTGTCTTGAAATCTGTTTCCTTAAGATATACAGGAGCTCAGGGACGAAGTGCATGTTATAGGGCCTCGTTCGATGCCTCATTGTCCGCCATCGCAAGGTTGATGCTTTCTGTAGGCATCGGGACCTCGGTGATTGGAAGCTTCAAGCAGCTTCAAAGTTTTGGGATGCTTCCTGCCCGACGGGCTTTTCCGGCATGTTTCGGCAACTTATCAAGGCTGGCAAACGCTGGCAAGCTTTTTCGATCAAGGGCGGCAACGTCGGCTTTGGAGCAGAAGATTCAACTGTGCCCTCTGCGCAGAGACGTAGTTGTGTGGTAGTGCACGTGTGCATCTAGTGACAAAATCCGTCCGACGATGTTACCTCTCGAGTCTGGCCGGTGCGGCAAAAGCCTAGGGAAATTAGCTACTCCGGTGCAGCCATGGCAGAGGCAGCAAAAGCGAAGGCACAGACCCCGTCAGCTGCCACTGACGTTGGAGTTGAGCCGACGCCGGCTACAGAGCATGGGCCACACCCGGTCGTGGACCGACCCGATGAGCACAGCTGGGTTGGTGGTCCGACAGTTGCCGGTCAGGAGGCGCCTACTGCAGAGGAGCTCAGGACCCCGTCCGTGCCGGTAATCAACACAGCGTTGCGGCTGCCACGGAGGATGACCTCATGGACTCGCTGGAGCACTTGCGCTTGAAGGCGAGGGCACGGCTGGCGTCCTTGTTCGCCCAGTCCGTTGCCGACGGACATGGCGCCTACGATGAGGCTCCTGCGACTGGTGCCGATGCGTGGTACAACAGCGAGGCCTTGGCTGCGGCACTGTTCGACGAGCAGCGGGTCGACCGGCAGGAGCCCCTGCTCACTACGATCCTGTCCGACAGTGAGAGGAGGGGACACACCATGTGCCAGAGCAGCTCCCGGTCATGCCCGGTCGCCAGAGCCACCCAAGGTCTTTGTCAAGGCCGACCCGCCGCCGCTCCAGCTCAGGTCCTGTTAGCAAGGCGGCGAACGGCCAAGCCCCAGGACCCTCGAGATGCCCGTTCGGCACCGGGCTCCCAACACGGTGCTCAAGGTCCAGTCCTGGCCGAGTTCCAACGACCCCGTTCTGACGGTTTTGGTCGGCCGCGACCACCCGACGCCGTTGTTCCGCTACCCTCAATGGTGCCGGCGCACATCCAGTTCGGAGGGATGCCAAAGGTCCCGGTGAAGAACTTACCCGCGTCGCCGCCGAACACGAAGGCTACCAGTTCGAGCTCCACGGCTACCGCGACTACCCCGGCAGCTACCCCGTTCGCGAGCCGGTCGCTCCCCCGTCAGCGACGACAAGAGCCAAGGCGAAGGAGCCCTCCTACATGGTGGGGAACCGAAGGCACAACCGACGCCTGTTGTTCCTTCGGTCTTCCCCCCGAACACGGCCATCCCCGACGAGAACGATGACAACCCCGGCGCCGGCGCTGCCAGTTCTCAAGGACTTGGCCAATCACTCGGGCTTCGAGCCGAAGCTGGTTCAGTTGTTGCTGGACCACGGCGTCAACAACTCCGGTTCGTTTTTCCACACTTTTCAGGACCCGGCAGCAGTGAAGAAGTTGTTGATGCCTTGAGTTCGGTTGGCGAGTGCGTTAAGTTGACGACGGGAGCTAGTGTCAAACTAGATGACGTGCAGTTTTTGGTGGCGACCTCGGTGTTCGCACACATGGTGGACGAGATCCGGCACGTTGGCCTCGACGTCCGCGGCTTCCACAGCGAAGGTTCCCAAGACACTCCCCGACAACTACTGGGCCCAATTCCTCGCAGAGTACCAGGCCGAGACGATAGGGGGGATACCCCGCCAGTTTCCCACGCACCTCTTGTCAGGAGCAGACGAGGTTTTGGCACGCCTCGTGCACGAGAGGGTGACCAGTTCGTACTCCCGACTTCGGTTGGGAGAGATCGTCGCTCACAGGAAGTACACTCTGTCGGGCCAGATCAACCCGTTCCGGATCAAGGAAGAGCCCGGTTCGCGGTTGGTGCTCACGGAGGACGGCCAGTTCGACCGCGCGCCAAAGCGTGTGCGTGAGCCGCAGAAGCTGCACACGTTCCTGGACTTCCTCGAGTCGGTGAAGCTTGGCCTCCTGTTCGCACGTTGGGGGCCAGAGATCCATCTCGACACATGGGTCGGGTGGTTTTCCAACCTCGTTCGTGACCACCCAACGAAGTACCCTCACCTGCGCGAACTTTATATTCGCAGTTCCTGGTCCTGGGTTCGTTTTGGTTGTGGGCTGCTAGACGGGGCCTGTTCGTAAATTTTCATCACCAGTCAGGCCAACTTGTCCGATACGGTGTCCGGAGGAAATTTTTCGGAGGCAACTCCTTGCAGTGCCGTCGCTTGGAGCCCCTGTTCGACAGAGCCTAGTCGGACCTTCTGCGGCTACAGCAGGCGCAGTCAACGACAACGTCCTGGGCTTCCCGTCGTTGACAGCTTGTTCGACCAGCCACCGCACTCCAGTAGTGGGAGAAGGCGCGCGGTGCATGGTTTGTTCGAGCGCGCCGTTGAAAACGGTTCTGTTGCTCCCATCCGTTCGTTCGCAGACAGAACGCCACCACAGTCGTGCAGTCGAGGCGAGAGAAAAGCGAGCCTCGACAGCGTGTTGCCTGTTAGTACAGAAGAGAAAGGGTTTTGTCTGGTAGTGCACGTGTGCATCTAGTGACAAAACCCGTCCGACGATGTTACCTCTCGAGTCTGGCCGGTGCGGCAAAAGCTTGTTGAAGTCCCGCCTCACCCGCCCTGACGATTTTACAGTCCAGCAGCGGTTTGTTCGAGCGCGCCGTTGAAAACGGTTCTGTTGCTCCAACCCGTTCGTTCGCAGACAGAACGCCACCACAGTCGTGCAAGTCGAGGCGAGAGAAAAGTGAGCCTCGACAGCGTGTTGCCTGTTAGTACAGAGGAGAAAGGGTTTGTCAGCTTCTCCACCGGAATGTCATCGGAAGTTGGACTTTTCCTGAGGTTGCAGTGGAAGCCAGCGGCACCAAGGTGCCTTCGCTTGGCTGCCGACAGTGAGTTGAAGTCGCTGTTGTGAGGAAATCGGCCAGAGACATTGAGACTCTGGCTGCTCTTGCTGCTATCTGTGCTAAGTCCTTTGTCAAATGTTGCTGTGCCTGTGCAACGATTCTCCCCACGACTAGCACTTCCCCTGCGACTGAGGAAGACATGCAGTGTAGCATGTATTTGTGTATCCGTGGGATGGACTTCGTGTAATATCAAGGTGTTTGACGATGCTGTTAGCAAAGATATTGTTGGGAAAGTCGCAGAGAAGCTTCCAGCTTTCCGCTCTAACATGCAATGACAAGGTACTGGAAAAGACGCTACGAGCTGTAGCTATGTCCTCTGCAGACCTGCAGAAGTCCACCGGTTTTTTGCCAGGCCCATGCAAACTGTGATGGGTTCATTCCTGTCAGCCTTTGCCAATCTGTAAGCTGCGCAGCCCACTTCTCTTCGGCTTCTGGACAGGTTTCGGCTGGTTGGGACTCCGACTGGATCGCTTTGATGCAGTGCGTCCGGATGCGCCATGCCTTCTGCGTGGGCTTGCTCAGTGCCGCTAACAGCAGGGGCAAACCTGAGAGACTACGGTGGATGGTGGACTCAGAAGTTGTGTGACATGCGGGAATGCATCCAAAATGAGTATAGTTAGGTCCTATTTCCCTGTGCAACCGGGCTCATTGTCGAATGGTCGTCAGCAGGTAGACCAGAGCACGGCAATACAAAGAAACTGCACCCGTTCCCAAACATGCTCGACAGGGCGGTCCCCCATTGCAAGAAGGCTCTGACGGATACGGATCTCCGTAACTAACTAGGAATTGTGCTCGACGTATCGCTGCGACTTTTCTGCATTTTCACTGATTGAAATGTGCTGTAAGTCGGGTTCGACATACAGGAATCTTTGCGTGCAGCCGCACCCAAAATGTCGTACTGCCATGTGTAGCGATGTTTGAGTTTCCTGCATAGTGCGCTGCCCTGTTTAAGATAGTTTGTCTTTCTCCCAAGATAGGGCATGCACATCCGGGCTCGGACTTCTCCGTACGGACTTCGCTATCGAGAACGGGATCGCGTTCGCTCCGCTTCAGGTGGCCAGGTGGGGCGTCTGCTGGAGCCGCCCATGATTTCTGAGGACACGGTCATCAAGGCAAGCATCTGTAAAGAGACATCTGCTCCCGTCCGACTTTGCCTGTTTCTTTTGACCACTTTTCGAGGTGAAGAAGACTGTTGACACCGAGGGCCTTGCAGAGGACTTTATTGACCAGCTGACCGATGGCGACGAGATCTCTGCGGCGCGCCTCGGGTGGCAGTGGCACGACGAGCCACCTTTTGGCTGCACCCAGACACCGCATTCCCTCTCCGCAATTCAATGACCTGAAAGCACGGAGTCTTTTTGCATCGGTTTTCTGAAAAGCGTACAGGATCTGGAACGGCACAAAGGATTGGAAAGCAGCGAATCGCAGGCCCTTGGGTTCTGAACGTTTAGAGTTTGGCAGGACCCAAACTCAAAACACTTGAATCTAAACAGAAAGGTCGCAGATGCCACCGAAATGGGTCTGGAAATAGCATCGAAGCAGCATCCGGTTAGGCATGGCTTGCCATGGCGTGCTTGAATATGCATCCACCAAGCACCGTCACAAGCCCCAGACCCTCAACGACGAAGAACACCTCTAGGTCAGAGTCACAGGTATCATCCAAGCCATCCTAGGCTCGGTCGTCCGATCAGCCCAGATGTAGCCAAGTGCGTGGGTTGTAGACGGGGTAGAGGTTTTGCAGGGATCTCTGTTCGTCGCCTCGCACTCTTTTCCAACTTCCACGACGGAACGTCACAGAATGCGACCACATTTCCTCTTTCATCTTACGTAGTCTTGCATCGACATCCCTTTGAATCGGGCACGTTCGTTTGTTCGCGCGTGCGGCCTTCCCTGTGACGACCCTGCCCAGGGTGGTGAGAGCTTGTTGATGGCAGCTAGGTGCCTGTAGGCCATGACTGTAATCCGGAGACAGGTTTGGAAAGGGTGGCAGTACATTGACAGTGGATGCGCAGAAAAAAAACGTAGGGAGCCGTTCTGGTTGTGTCCGCTAATGTTCACCCGAAAACAGGCTTCAACCATCTCGATGGTTGGTCTCTTGCATCTTCCCAATTGCCCGGCCAGTAGTTCAAGCATGCCGCTTTCGGTTTAGGAAATCTTGTCCAGTGTGTCCGACATCTCAGTCTCAGGACGCAAGCAGGTGCCGTGAACTAGGCAGAGGTTGGCCGTGGCAGTGCATCGGAGCACGGAAAGCTTAACTGCGATCGAAGCTAGATCAACCTTAGTTTTTTGAAGCACGCTGTTCTCGCTTGTGGTATGCTCGCAGCACTGTGACCGAGGTGTGCTCGCTTTGTAGGCGAAGCTGCTGCTGATCGCGTGCTGCAAGCAGCACAAATTGCACAAGCGCGACTGCAGCAGGAGCGATTGTCCAAGCAACGGGTTTTGTTACCGGCGCCGAACAGCTTTTCTACTCTTCTACGGACGAGTTGTTCCTGTATGCTGTGTTCTGCTTCCCTGGGCTGTGTGTTGTCCAGGAGAAACGGGAGCTGCAGCTTGCGCTGATACCCTCTGTTGGCTCTGCTCTTTCTCTCGCGAGTTTCTCGCACACGGAGGTTCCCGGCCGCTGGAGTTTCAGTCAAGTCGCAGGTGTGCAGGGTGCGTTGAAGTGGAAACGTCACGAACATCTTAGACTTCGGCGAAACTTGGTTTGGTCTAAGTAGTGCCGGCAGTGTGCAACATCTAGCGGCTAGCAGCACGTTCGTGTTAGCTTTGGCTGACACTGTTTTTTTGGAGCCTAGCTTGGATGGTGCAGCTTACGAAGGTGCTGCTGCTGCTCTGCCCGTGGGCCAACGTGGCGACCGCCTCGCACTCGGTTTTCTTGGTGGATGCAACGTTGGTTCCTTTGCCAATCGTATGCCACAAGCCAGTGTCCCTGCGTCACTGAGGAGGTGCCTGGAATAGCGCCAGTGAGACAACGGCACAGCCGCAAGTTTATGGAAGCCATGGACATACTGCCGCCTTCAGGATGAGAAAAGGAATGCAACACTTCATGATGGGTACAGCAGTGGTTGTAAAATCGACCCCTCGCGCCGGTCAGCGTATCCCGGCTCCCTGCACTTCAGCCTCCAGCCCAGTCCTATCGTGAGCTGCAACGCCATGTCCGAGGTTTTTATCGAGCAGGCCATGTGGTCCTGGATCCATGGGAGATTGCGGTACAGTACCTCAGGACTTTGCATGGCTTGTTCTGCAGCACCGACATTTCAGAGGCTCTGCGATCTGAGAGCTATGAAGGACATGGTTTACCATCGATATAACTGTGCCGGCCTTAGTATTGACGACATTGCCCGATGAATCAAGCGCCAAGTGCAACAAGTGCAGCAGACATCATGAATGCCACAATTCCTCAGCTGAATTTACCGCAAGTGCTCATCGGTAGAGTTCCGCACCTGTCCGGGGCCAACATCCCTGCACTAAATCTGTGAACTTCTCTGCCTCACGTGGCAGTCGCCACCTCGGCGAAGCCAAGTGCCGCGTTGCACAGAGACTTTCTATCCGACACACCCGCATTCCTCTGGTGCCGACGTTTGAATTTGTCTGAGTGGTTCCCTTCCGCCTTCCTCGTGCAGTAGCAAGCGCTTTCCTCTGCTTGCAGGTTCTGGCATTGGATTGGTGTTTCCTAGCTCTGGATGCTGCATTCGTCAACGACAGTGACGACGATGGAGTTCTGCCGGCTTGGTTGTGGCAATGTAGTTTCTAGAACACTCGAGTTTGAAGCAGAGGGGCTGCGCCTTGCACGTCGCGGCTTATGCTGCGGCCATGGAAGCGATCGGTCGGATTCGCACGGGCAGTCGGTGCTTTTGACAGGCGGGCAACAACTACCTCAGCTCCTCGGCTGGAAAGAGTGCTTCATACTCTAGGTGGTTTACAAAGACTATTGCCAGCATCATTGATCCTAGGTTCTGTAGGGCCTTCACTCAGACTTGCCTTCAAGCCTTTGAGCTGTCTGTCTTCTTGCCTCAATGCAACTTGGCATCTTGAATCCTCGGTTTGAACACGTATTGCATAAGTTCTGGTCGAACTGAGGAATAATGCGCATGTCAGCGACTCAATTCTTGAGATCAGGAGGCTGTTGGAAGGGTGTAGACATGTGGCTCCACCTGGGCCTGACAGTGCCCAGGAACTTGTTATCGCTTCCCGAGGTCGCGTGGACTGAAGATCCTGAGGATCTTGCGCTTGGTGCGTTTGGCCAAGCTGTTGAAGTCTTAGCTTTTGTAGGAGATGTCCCGAAGTTGCACTACATCAGAGAGTTTCCGCTGTCGCGGCATGTATCTGTGTCGCGTTGCCATGAGCTGTCCAGATCTAAACTGCCGGGTGTGCCCGGCTCCTGGTAACATGTTCACGGGAAGACTTCCAAGCTGAAAACACACCGGGGGCTGTTTCGGGAGTCCATATCGTCCCACTATCATTCGTCAACTCCGTCTCGCTCTTGAGACCATAACTTGCATCATTGGCATGATCTGTACAAGACGCAAGGTCTTGCTTGCCCTGACCTATGTGATCGACGGGAGTCCAAAGGTGCCCGAGTGGATCCCCCTACCAGCAGCAAGGTGGAGCATGTGGAGCAAAACTACACCACAAACGAAAACAAACTGGCGGGGCACACCATAATTCGGAATGAACAAAAGCAGGGGTGACGGCGACACAACGGGGCTTTCACGCCAGGATGCTGTCGACTCGACTCGCAAGCAGGTGCAAGACTCCATCTGCGAACACAGTGTTCCACGGGCACGACCGATGACGATGAAAAACGCGTGGCTAGAGCGCGCAGAGGCAACGATCGGTTTTGGCCTGGGAAGACCTTTACTTGCCTGTCGGGCAGCCCGTTGCGTCAGAGATGTTGTAAGTATGTTTGAGAACTACCTGTGATCGAATGCACGAAAAGTGTTGAACTTTGCATGTTTCGAGCGGATCTGCGAGGTTTCCCAAGTTCCACACCGCCGCACCCCCGGCTGGGACGCGTGGTTGGCGTAATTTTCACGAGCTCTGCGGACCATTTCCGAAAGCTTTCGGGCCGAGTCGAGGGAAGCGCAGCGAAGTTGTAGGAATGGCCTAGTCTGGTGAAGTCTCCAACGGTCCTCCGCACAATAGTCGAGCCCTACCTGAGTCCCTGCAACCTTTACTGAAAGTCCTTCAAGGCTTCGCATCACCTGACATGTGCAGGTAGAGACAGACACAGGTCTCGTGGTAATTAGCGTGGCATGAGTAGGTTTGAGCCAATGTTGTCTTGCAGGAGTTTGTCAAGCTTTCCAGCCAATTCCAAGACGGCATTGTCGTCTTCCAGCTGAATTCGCCACCAGGGTTTCAAACAGAGTATTGAGGCCTTTGTGGCGGTGCAATCGGATGCGATGCGGCTCTCATTGGGGGCGCCATGGCCCCAGAGAATTCGGTATAGATTGGGACCTTCCAGCGAGTTTGGGGGTAAGGCCCTGTTTCCAGATCGCGAATTTAGGTTTCTTTGGCCGTGTTCTGCTGACTGGAACGGCAATGCGATATGTGGTTTTCAATCTCCAATGCTGCACGAATCATCTGGCCTTGCTGCTGCTGTGTGTCAGGTGGTTTGCCGTTGTCATCGTTGTCGTCATGAACCACTACGCTCCTCTGCGCATTGTGGCAGAATGACTTTTGTAAGCAATCCTGTTGGCTGCAATCGCAATCGCAGTTCCAACGACAGGTTGCATGTGGCTGGTTTGCCTTGGGCTACTGGGACACAACTGTGCCTCGGCTTCTGAGGAAGCGTCATGTCAGCTTCATGTCAATGTGTGAGTGTGCTTTTTTTGGACTTGGAGGCTCCCATCACATGGGTTGCAGCCTACGACCTAAATGGAGTTCTGGCCCCAGCGGTGCCATCGTGCCACCCGCACGAGTCTGCGCGACTGTTGCTTCGGATGTAAGCAGCGCCTGGAAGATCGAAATGCTCAGATCAATCGTTGTGTGCTATATCGCCAATTGTCAGGACATGACTCCCTTCAAGGGTCAGCTTGGGTACCAGTACTTTACGCCGGGACCCAAGCTCAACACGAGTTCAGGGAATCCGAACTTCTGGGGAAGTGTTGTTGTCGCTTTTGTATCTTACTGGTTTGTTTGCTAGCTTTTCTGTTTTGTTTTATTCGCTTGCAGCTTTTTGTATTGCTTTGGCGGCTTTGGGTTCTACAGCTTTGCTTGCCATGGGAGTATTCTGCAATACCTGCTCCTGCCGCTCCTGCTTCTCCTGGTGCTACTGGTACTGCTCCTGCTACTGCTACCGCTGCCGCTACCGCTTCCGCTGCTACCACTACTGCCACTACTGCTGCTGCTGCTGCTGCTGCTGCACCTATCCGCAGCTCAGCTTGAGCTCTAAAGGCCGTATGTACAGCACCTCCTGCATTTCAATCGCACCAACAGCTGGAATCTATGGTGTCTACAAGCTATCCAAAGCTCCACATGCTTTTTGCTACCTGCCCGAGCTCCGAATGCTACATGTTCCAATGTTGACAGCATTTCATCCGAACCGAAACCTGTCATTTTGCGATAGTTGCAGCTTTTCCAGAGCTCCGAATGCTGTGTTCTTCAGTATTTGCAGCATCTCACTTGGCAGTATCTACAGCTTCCTCACAGCTCCAAGTCCAAATGGTACTGCGAAGCACAAGTCTCCAACCAAAAAGTCATCCAAGTAAAGTAGTTGTTCCTGTAGGATGCCTGGAAGCATCTGCTGTATCTCAGGACCGAAGCTTACGGACAGTACATCTGGTACCCAAACCTGTGTCTTTGCAGTCTTCCGCGAAGCTGGAGTTACTGGCGTGTCCCACCTTAGGTCGCTCCACTGGGCGTTGCACCCTTACACTACGCAGACCTTTGAGCTGAGACGAGTACCAGCATGTCGTCGATGATCTTGTGTTGTGCAGTGGATGCACTGGAATTCCCATCTTAGACGAGCTGAGTGCCAGCTACGTGCTCCTACATGAATACACCTTCGAGGTTGTGTCAGTTCACTCCGGCTTCGATCGAGGCTGGGTTTGCGGATGTCTGCGGTACTGATACCTGCATGTACTTGAAGCTACACGGGTCAGGGGCTTCCTTAGTGGCGCTTGTTTGAGCCACTCTGGGGTCAGCGTTCTCACAGCTCCGATGCTGGCCTGAGGCCGGATGGCCGGATAAAGGGTCCGATGGTAGCGGGTGGCACCCCACCTGATCTGGCAGAGTTGCTGGCAGTCAAACTTATGGTTCCTGACTTGAACTTGGCGTATGCCGACAGTGGGCCAACTCGTCTTCTTGTCAGGTGAACGCTGTTAACACTTCGGAGCGTATCTACACCGTTTGCACGGTGCGGTCCCTATGACAGTCATAGAGGTGACGTTGCGAGTGTTGCGGCGTTGACTCAGACATACAAGAACAAACAAGAGGATCGAATCATGTTGTTTAGATCGCCTCCCAACCCCTTCCTTGATGCAGTTCCCATCTGAACATCCGCCTTAATTAGGAGAGTCTTTGCTGGAAAACGGCGGATGTTTGTCCCCTGCACAAGCCTTCACGGGGGTCCTGGGTGCTTAGATATTAGGTTTTTGCGGAAGCTTCTCTGTTATTGGTCTTGGCTTGCTGCGCTTTGGGATTTTCGAGCCCTGGTTCGTATTCGATGTGTTCTACTTTATGCTGGCCGTTTACTTGCTGTCTTTGCTTTCAGCTTCCGGCTTTATAGTTTGTCTTTTTTTTTTCTTGGTCTTCCTTGCTCCCTCGTGTGATCCTCCGATTCCGCGGGAATCACTAAGTTTGATGAATACCAGCAGCCGCTCAGGGTTGCTCTTGTAGAGACATCGTCGGTCATAGTTGCGTCGTCTTGCAAAGCCAATCGAATACTTACACCAATCTTGGCCAGTAATCCTCTTGTGCCGGAGATTGGCCGTGTCCTCTCGCATAGATGTGTTACAATGTAGTCACGTTTATGCTTTCTTTGGCAAGCTAAATCACCAGATGTTTGCAGTCCCATATGGCCTTGTATCATCATGTGGATGCCGTTCTAAACCCCCGCCTCTTGTAGGAAGAATAGGGCCGGCATGAGGGTTTTGCATGGTTTTCAAACATTGTTAAACGCCCGTGCGCGCGCAAGCTCGCGCAAGGGCGGGTGCAAGATACATAACATACGAACTAAGTCGAAATGCATGGTAATTCACGGTTTGTGAAGGGTTATGTTGACATGACGACATGAGTCAAAACCACTGCACGCGCAAGACAGCGCAAGGGCGGGCGGAAGCTCTGCTGTCCTAATGCCTGAGCATGGTTCCATTAATTTAGAACAACATCCATATGTGTCAGTCAAAATCTGGCCTTCTCCCTTTCGCGGTGTGTTTAGGGGCTCCCCACAAGTCTGCAATATCACTTTTCGATTCTTGTGGGATGTTGAACGGCCACCGAGCAGAATCCTAAGACACTGCGTGGCTGCGTAGTGTTCCGATATGGCCCGGGTGCATTTCTACGAGGCGAATCCCGACTGTCACAAGCAGATGTAGTCCTTCACAACAGCAAGCCGTTGAAATCTGGTAAGCGTACAGGACACAGCAGTTTGCAGCACCGATGATTTGCTAGTTCTGTATGTGGATTAAAAACCAACATGGAAACCTGCGAAATTCAAGTGAAAATCAATTTTTGAAGCATGAAAGCCCGCTATGAACTTTAACATGTCAGAAGTGAAAGGCAGAGTGTTCGAGCACGTCGAGCAAGGGAACCGAGTAAGCAGACTGCAGATGCATCTGCATTGATTGTTGCTCCGTAGTATTCCGTGGCCCAATCTCAGATCATCTGCGGCTTGATCTCGTTCTCCTCCTTTGTCTCCAACATCACGTCCTCGGCGTGGGGCCTTGGAGCGCTGCAGTTGCGCGTGTGCGCGTGCTTTCCACTTGGCGCATTCAGTCTGCACATGGCATTCTGCATGTCAGATGACGCAGCTCCGAAATCTCAACAGCCGGGTTCTCACTTCACTGCTTGTTTGCAGACGTGTGTGCTGAATGCCTGGATGTGAGCTCTTCGTCTCCCTTTGCCCGCAAGAAGAGTTCTGCTACCGACGTCTGGGTGGTTGAGACAATGAGACGGGCTGCCTTGCGAACATGCCAGCAAGGTTTCCACTAGGGAGCGAAGCTGTTGGGCGAAAGATCGGCGCGTGAGGAGATTTGCCATTGCTGAGGCGAGAAGCAGAAACAGCAGGCGTCTCTTCGCCAGTACTTCTCCCAAAATGAGTCAGAGACTCAGCATAGAAAGAGCTTGGAGATGCTCATCCTGAGTGGTCCTGCATGCCGACCTGCCTGCTGGTGGCTTCCGGTCTCGCCCACTGCTCCCAGCTCCCGCTCGCTGCATTCGCTGCTCATTGCTCAGGGTGCCCCCGGAAGTGAGCAAGTGCATCTATGACTGGATTAGCAGCCGCGGGCCAAGCTCGGCGGCCTGCAAGTTCCTTGAATCGCTCAGCAGTGTCAGTTCAGTTGGCGGTTGAGGCCATCGGAAGAATCATCGAGTGCGCGTTCATGCTTGGAGCTGAGCGTGTCGTGGCCGCGCGGATTTCAGGATTCAGTGCATTTCAGTGCTTTGTGCAGGAAGAGGACGTCGAACCTCTGGCCGAAGTGCCGGAGCGCTTGAAGTTCAAGTTGCGTGAGGCTCGTTTCCACTAGTAGCCAGTCGCCGGTCAGTACAACGTGCTGCTCGTGAATCTTCATGTTCTGTGCAAGTCACTCTCCTTCCAGGCAGTCTACCGCCCAGTTCTCTGCCGTCATCCGTTCTTCCTCGAGTTCCGCGAGGCACAGCTGGAACATTCCGGTCGCATGACTCCTGCACCGAATTTCAGAAGTGCGACAGGCCGCTTGGCATTTCAATAGGAGACATCTTCCTCAGGTGTAGCAACTCCAGGTGTTTGAAGTGGGTTTCCCTGTGTCTGTTACAGCGCATTCCGTCTCGCATCGCTTCTCCCAGTTTCAGCTACACAATGCTATGCAGGCCGATGCGCGGACGTTAGACAGGCTCTGTCACCAAGCGGTGTCGGAGATCAGGCCGGATTATCCAGATTCTTTTGCAGAGCGATGGAGCATTATTCAAGCTGAGTCAGGGTGAGCACAGAGCACACCATCTTCATCAAGGGAGAGCAGGTGGCGGGCCAAGAGCCATCTAAATTCTGTGACGTTCCCTGGCCACATTGCAAGCTGTCTCACTTCTGGCAATGGGAGACCCTTGCGAGACCTTGTCTCTTGTGGAGGCAACAGGCATGTACTTCGTGACCGGTGGAGAGCTGGAGTATTGGAGATCGGCGTTGATGGACCCGATACCCATTCAGACAGGCCGCGGGCTAGTATGGTATGCCGGCGGCCGCCCGCCGGCTGCCGGTGGCCGGTAGCTCTTTCTGTTTCTGTTTTCTGGCGAAGCCGAGGCGACTGGCTCAGTGAAGTGGCACTGTGGGTGTCGTGGAGGCACTGCTCGACAGCATGTGATGTGTGTGAGACGGCTCGCATGCGCTTTCGAGATCAGTCTGGCATCAGGCACTGTGGCACATTGGCGGCAAAGTGCCAGAGTGATGCCTGTGAGCTCAGCATTTCATGCTGTCTTGATGGTGTGCTTTCTTTTCCTGGTTTTGAGCTTTGCGACTCGGGTGGATCGATGGTGTCCGGCAATACAAACTGCAATGCAATGCAATGCACACATCGTACAGGGGCCCTTAACGAGTGGGATAGCTAGCGTAGTGCCATAGACACCCACGCAAAACGACAGCACGAAGGGTGCGGCACTAGACGAAAAGCACATCTAAAGCATGAAAGATGCACCCTAAGCGCTGAAACGGCATGGTGAACGCTGCTGGAGGATCTTCAGGGACAGTTGCCTGCACCCGCAGTTGATGCTCGTGGACACCGACATGTTCAGATCCGCCATCGCCACTTGCAGCAAGGCAGGCGGCAGGCCTCAAGTCTTCGCCGCTCAGCGCCGCTTCTCAGATCTGGCGCGAGGTGGGCCGGCGCCTGGTCCGCGGCTACGCGGCAGCCTTTGTTCGCCACGAGTGTGAGGCCTGAAGTGGCATCATCACGATGTGGAGAAGGATGTAGCCACACGTGCATGCATTGAAGCCAGCGTATCCTGCAGTACGTCGTTATCGCATGAGCTAGCACATGTCCTGTTGGGCTCGCTGTGTAGGCCCAGCCAGCTGGCGCCTGGCTTGGGGACCTTTGCTGTAGCCACGAGGCTCGACGGCTGGGCTGGCTGGGCCGGCTGGGGGATGGGGCTCGGCTTCAGTTTGGATGTCCTTGCTTCCTGCAAGGCCATCGCTGCTTTGCTGGAGACAACAATGCACAAGAGTCAGCCGCATTTGGGCTGCAGCCGAGTTTTGTGATCACCGTCTGCATGAGCTTGGGCCAGCAAGGCGTCAGTCCCTGTCCCAGGCTGGAGGAGCACCTCAAGAGTGTCACAGCAACTGAACTTTTCAAAGACCACTGCCGACAATCCGTCGTGCCCTGCTGTGGCATCGAGAAAATGACACCGGTCCTGACTGTCGAAACTCGCGAAGTGAGCAAGGCCCGGACCAAGCTTGAGCTGTAGCGACTTCACGACGATGTCTGCTTTAGGATGCGCAAAACGTGTGGCTTCTGCCCCCATTCGATGTTGGAAACTTGTGCTCATGTTGGCAGACTCATGCATTTACGCCACCCACCGGTCATCCCGGGTACTTTTTACTGCAAAGGCTGCCAAACTTGAGACATCGTCTTTGCACTGCAGCGATCTGTCCGGACTCAGCCGCGGCTCTGCAACATTTCAACAGTCTCTCGAACGAGCCCCTATGGGACCGTTTATGACTGCCACGACAGAGTCCATGAGGAGATTCTCCTCTGTGTATTTTCGAAAAATGTTCCGAAGGACAAAGGCCCTCTTGAATGTATGTTGACTTGCCAAGCAGAGTCTACGCGGAGGGTGCAACTCCTTCCTGAGGAGGAGCTTCAGCGAATTTGGCTTGAATGTTGTGTTCCTCACATCGCAGCATCTTGCTTTTAGCAATTTCTGATGTGGCCGTGTTCGGGTGGCATATTGCCGGACTTTCACAGCCGATCATGCAGCATGATGCACCCCGAAGGGGCCTGGCAATTTCGTGCAATGATCGCGAATGCTGGTTTGGCATCACTTCGGCCTAGGTCGCGGGTTTGTCAATTGGACAGGGTTCCGTTGCCCGCCTTGGCCAGGATCGAGAAAAGCATAGTGGATCCCTGCAGGCAAAGTCGTAGCACGAATCGAGCAGCTTGCTACGGTGTGTTAAGGGGATGTGTGTCAAAGGCAAGTCACGGCTAGTCATAGGCAAGCAAATGGCTGAAAGTTACGGCTTCGCTTTGCCAAGTGTGGGACGCGATTTTGTCGACGGTTCAAATCTGGGAATCGGAAGCGGCGGGAAGTCTGCAGACGGTGCGGTGCACTTCGGACGGAGCCGCGGAGCCGCGGAGCCTTGGCCTCGGGCGAAGCGGAACGGAGCGCAGCGGAGCGCAGCGGAGCCCCTTCTTAGAGTTCGCTTGTAGTGTTTTATAAAACACTACAAGCCAGTTCCAGCATGTTTTATAAAACACTACAAGCCAGTTCCAGCAGGGTTGATGAACCTTGCAACGCCGCAGCTTTGCTGCACAAGGCTGGTTGAACAAGCCCCGAAAGGGGCGAAACCGGTACCAGAAGCCTGTGCTAGCTAAAAGTCTTGCGGCTGTGCCTGCTTGCTTGACGTTCTTGACTTTAGAAGTGCGTAGCTATTGTATTAGACCGTCGCCATGGATCCAGCAGGTAACAGTCTCGGAAGAAACACAGGGAGTTTCGTCTCAGCAGGAGCGGAGTTGAGATCAAGGTCAGCACAAAGGACAGATTTCACTGCAGCTGGTAGACCACGAAGAGAACCGCGTGTTCCCGATGCCACAGCAACAATTGACACATCTGTGCAGGAATTGCTTGCTCAGCAAGTCGCTTTGCTACAAGCCCAAACCGAGCTATTGCAGAGACAAGCAGTCACAAATCAAGGACGGCAGCAAGCTTTCCACGACCCGCAGTTGATCCTCGACACTCTAGATCCTGAGCTTCGAAACGTGATGCGCGATTGGAAAAGCAATTTTTGCAAGGATTTGGGCCACTTCTACACCCAAAGTGAACTACGAAGCAAATACGCCAAGATCGAGTCCGAAGGCGAACTCATGAAGCAGCTCCAGGAAGAGGCCAAGCGTCATTGGCAGTGGCCCAAAGCATATGTTGCAGAAGCATCGCCAAACACAGATATCGAAGACATGACCGACGAGACGTACGACATATATTCCGCATGGCAAAAACTTCGACAGAAACATTGTAAGGAATGCCAGGCTTTCATCTTCGATCATTAGAAGAAGGCTCTCGAGATGTTCACGCAGAAAATCTCCAAGGACAATGTTCTTCAACATGTCAAAGATCTCTGGACATCATGGTTCGACCTCAATCCCGACCTTGTCAGCCAGGGCGCAGCACAACAGTCTTTGAACAAATGCATCCAGTTCGCTGAAATGACGGTCCGGGAAGAGATGCCGAAGACCCGAAGCCGCATCCAACAAGCAGAAGAAGCCAGAAGCAAGCGAGCAACAGCCCTGATTCAAGCCGAGACTAAATTCCAGCATATGGACCCTCAGCAGCTCATTGCTTTGATCGAGTTGGACAAACACGCAAAGCAAGTCACGAGCAACGACGGCACCATGGCAAAACATCTTACCCTTTGCAAACACAGTGAACTGGCAGCACTCGTTCGCAAGTACCCTGACCTCGAGAATCACTTCAAGATCCAGTTCAGCAACAACCCGACGACGGCACCTCAAAGATCCCGCAGTGAAGACCGTCGTTCTCCAGGCCGAAACAACTACAAAAAGTTGCCTCGTACGCCAACCCCATGCCCCCGCAGATCGACACGCAGTCGCGGACGCTCAAGCTCTACAAGCAAAAGTCAAAAACGCCATTCGAAAACCCGAGGCTCGTCGAAAACATCTTCACGCTCCAAATCGCGACATCAAGATGGGAAGAGTCCTGGTCGCAGCAAAGGCAAAGGCAAAGGCAAGAGCAAGGGCAAGGGCAAGGGTAAGAGCAAAAGCAACGGCAACAACCAAGCATCTTGAAGAAGGTCAGTTTTCGTGGTGACCGACATTGACGGTTGCCCCCTCTCACCTTGTACAGGGAGCGCCCCGCGCGACGCCGATGCAGGAGCTACTGGAATTCAGACCTTACATCTATTGATTTTGCCTCCTACTGTGTCAGCAGATCCCACCGAATTTCGATGGAGTCGCTGTCAGCACGAGTTTCCGGCAACTTCATACACCAATGCATGCCCGCGGATTTCATTGTTCCTGATTTTGTGCTGCTCTATTTGAACAAAGGCGGCAAGTACATTATCGACAAACATCGATGTTCTTTGGCCGAGGTTGTCGGCAGCGTACAGCAATTAGAACGCCGACTGCACATCGCCAAATTCTTCGAGGATGTGGTAGCACCAGTGCGGAAGCCTTGTACAATCAAATCTTTTTGGCAACCGCCTGCTCACCAAGGAGTTTCAACTTATTGTCGTATGCTCCGCCAGGACATCACCCGACATTTTGTCGACAAGCCGATACGTCGAAATCTCAACTGGATCGACGGGAAAGCCATACAGTGGTTGAAGTCACACAGAAACGACATCGTGATTGTGGACTGCGATAAAGGACTGGGAGACGCAATTTTGCCCCGTACCTGGATTAATCAAGAGTTGCAACGACTTCTGGATTCGGGTTTCAAGAAGTTGACACTCCAACAATGTCGGCAACAATCTTTTCTGGCAAGGTCTTGCATCGAAAGCATTGTGAACCAAGCAGAGTCTGGCAATGTGATCTGCACGAAACAGGCCGCATTCATCAAAGCCGGTCTATTTTCCGCCAAGGAAGGAACCTTCAGGTTGAGGGTAAAGTTGCACAAAAACCCAATCGTCGGCAGACCCATCGCGAACTTACCAAACAGCTGGCTTACACCGGCGAGCATCTTCCTATGCAGAATGCTGGCCCCAATCCAGGAGAAGCTTGTCTACACAGTACACAGCAGCTATGAGTTTCTGGAATCCATGCCACGCGTGGTTCCACCCGGTTACGAGATTGCGACGATCGACATCAAAAACTTTACCCCAGCATCGATACAGAGCACATGCTGTTGACACTTTCCTCGGATATCATTGACCACTACGGCCACACAGACCTCGCGAACTTTGTTATCGGACTGCTTCGTATCGTCATGCGAAATCAGCTCATACAACATCGCGGGGAATGTTACCAAGCTTTTGGTATTGCCACAGGACTACCACCAGGAGTATTTCTCGCGAACATCTATGTGAACCATGTCGATCAACTCGTGATGCAAACACATTCTTCAAAGATTGCTTTCTATGCGCGCCTCGTAGACGATTCTGTTGTGTGCACAAGTGATGTGGAGGAGATACAGAGAGTCCAAAACTCGTGGCGGCATGATTTGGTGTGGGAAATCTCAAGCCGTGGAGGTCGTTCTGAAATGGGCGAAGACACCGTCGCATTCCTCGACATACAGCTCTCGCACCATGGTGGAAGCATGTCGTGGGAAACATATCGGAAGCCCTTGAACAAATACCTATACATTCCAAGGTCCAGTGCTCACCCCCCGTCTGCCATTCTCAGCCTCGTTCGTGGGGAAACCGTGCGGATTTGGCGCACCAACAGAAAGCTCAAAGACGCGCAGAAACATTTGGAGTTATTTGCAACTTCGATGGCAAGACGTGGCTATTCATACCAACAGGTCAAAAGTGATATTCAGAAGCATCTCTGCAAAATCACATCGTCTTCCCAACGAGCGGCTAAGACAGCTCGAAAGATGTTTGCAGTTATCAAGTACAGCAGCTCTGTGCCAACACGTGTTATCAAGAACTGTCTCAAGAGACAACAACACATCCTGAAAGGATGTTTCAATTCAGATGTCCAAACCGGCGTTGCTTTTTCTGTTCAGAGATCCGCTTTTCGTTATCATTTCGCGGACAACTGGTTGTGGGATGGCCAAGTCGTCCACACGTACAGATCACGGTAGCACTGTATCACACCGACTAGGGCGGGTGGGAGGGTCGGTGTTTTATAAAACACTACAAGCCAGTTCCAGCAGGGTTGATGAACCTTGCAACGCCGCAGCTTTGCTGCACAAGGCTGGTTGAACAAGCCCCGAAAGGGGCGAAACCGGTACCAGAAGCCTGTGCTAGCTAAAAGTCTTGCGGCTGTGCCTGCTTGCTTGACGTTCTTGACTTTAGAAGTGCTTAAAGTTCGCTTCTCAGGCCCGGGCCTGGGCCTGGGCCTCCACTGCCATGCGCCGGAAACTCAGTCCAGGCCTCCGCCGGTTCGGCCAAAGAGATGGCTTGGACCTGTCTTGGACTTAGGTTCTGCAAGGCGGCGCATGGGCTGGTTGCCAGGCCAGGTTTGGATTGCGGGCACAGCCGCACCGCACTCACCGAAAATCGATTTGGATGAGGCGGTCCCAGTCTGTCCCGTCTTTGCAGCAACAGCAAGTATCGTGCGCGCTTCTCGCACTTTGGAGCTTGCAGGACTTGCTGTTGTCCAAATCACTTCAGTAGGACAGCGTTTTCAGATCGTTTAGCATGCCTACCGCCCTGCGACAAGATGAAGTAGCGCCTGTATTTCCTTCCCCTGTTGTCTCGGGTAAGAAATTTCACGAGTGCTCCTGCTAAAACTATTGAAGCTATTGTGTATCGGTATCAAGGACGTCGGGAGACACGAATCCAACACAATTCGAATGGTTGGCACTGCTCGCAGCACTGGCAGTGCAATTCGTAGAGTTTGTCTTGTTCCAAATACTGCGGCAGGCCGACAGTCTCTCACACTTGTTTGAGTATGGGTTTGCTCTGAAACTCCTCCGGCATTTGATGTGCATGCAGGCCTCTGCTTTGCAGGCCCATGGTTTCGATCCCGCGATCAGCCCTGCATCACTGTGCTACATTCGTAGTGCAGCTGTAGGCATGCTCGCGCATAAGTTTGGTTGAGCGTAATGTGTCATGCCAGTGGTCAGGATAGGTAGTGCCAGAAAATCCACTATGACATGACGCATATGGAAGTCTTGATAGTTAATGTGGTTGATACCCCTCGTAGAGCTTATTTGCATGTTTCAGCTCATTCTGACCAACAATGTGATAAGCATTTTGAAGCCTTTCCCCCCCTGTGGAGTGCGTACTCGTGGTATTGACTCCTTTGCACGCAAGCAGAATGCGCAAGGTTGTCGCAGTTCTCGTGCACTCGCTTGCCTTCGCACCACTCATAGTGTTGTTAACCCTTATAAGTTATAAGTTTATCAGATTCTGTTCGGAAACCTAATCATATCTTTCAGATTGTCCGAAGACTCAAGATTACCATAAAATCGTGGGACAGGGGTTAAAAAATTAAATAAGGATAAACAAGAACAAGGATCAAACAAAATTACATAGGGATCAAAAAAATTAAAGCACCAGAGACGGCAGGAAGGAAGGAAGAAAAGAACCAACAGAAAGGGCAGGAAGGCAGGAAGGAAGCAGGGCCGCCCCGCAAGCAAGCAAGCAAGAGAGAGAGAGCCCGGGGGCCCTGATCCGCCCCTACGCCCGGCAGAGCGTGAGAGAGAGAGAGAGAAAGACAAACCGGTGCGCGCTTGCGCGCGGGCGCCACGGCGCCTTGTCCGAGTGCAAGCAAGAGAAAGAAAAAATAAAAGAAAGAAAGAAAGAAAGGAAGACACAAATAAAGAGAGAACGACAGAGAGAACGAAAGAACGAAAGAAAAAAACGAAAGAAAGAACGAACGCAAGAACGAAAGAAAGAACGAAAGACATAAAACAAGAAAGAAAGCAAGAACGAACGACAGGAAGGAAGGAAAGGAGTATGAAATGAATGAAGAAACAACCACAGAAAGAAAGAAAAGGAATGAACGAGCGAAATAAAGAGAAAATCCAGAAGAAACAAGCAAAATTGGAAAAGACGAAAGAGAAAGAACATGAAAGAATCACAGAAAGAAAGACACAAGCAATAGGATACTACATAGTCGCATCGAATATACCATGATTTAGTACTATACCATAACATAATATAACATAATGTAATCTGGTGTTATGTAATATCCTAAATATTATGTTGTATATATACACACTGTATTGTACTATGTTACAATGTACTAATGTTGTTTTGTTCTATGTTATATTCTGTTATATTGTATTGTTGTCTTTTTATTGTGCTATGATATGCTTTCAAAAAGCAATGTTGTGCTATGTCAGAAAATGTCACGCTATTTTTGTGGTGTCGAGCCATCTTATGTCGTTCTTATGGTTCACTATGTTATATTATGTTAGAGTGCTAACGGAAGAAGAGACACGAACAGGCACGGAAGAACGAAAGACCCACCGCCGCGCTTTTCGAGCCGTGCAAGCTTGATTCAAAGAGTGTTTTCGAAGCCCATCATGGGAGCGTTGTGTCTGCAAATGGGGGGGCTGCGCCCCCCCCAACCCCCCCGCTGTTTTAAGCCGTGCAGGCTTGGGTTGAAGCATATGGCTTTTGTTGAAACCCATCACACGAGCATTGTGTTTGCAAATGGGGGGAGCTCCGCCGTTGTAGATTGCTAAACTAGAATCGCCAAATGAGGGGGCGTGCTTAAGATAGATGATGAAGCGGAATCGCCTCTGAGGGGGCGTGTTTAAGATATAGGATGAGCCGGAATCGCCAAACGAGGGGGCGTGTTTAAGATTATGAGAAACCGGAATCGCCAAATGAAGGAGCGTGTTTAAGATATATTATGAGCAGGACACTCCAAATGAGAAGGCGTGTTATAGACATATGAGGGACCACCACTACTACTATTATTATTATTACTACTACTAGTACTACTATTACTACTACTACTACTGCTACTACTACTGCTACTGCTACTACTACTACTACTACAACTACTACAACTACAACTACAACTACAACTACAACTACAACTACAACTACAACTACAACTACAACTACAACATACTACAACCACAACCACAACGACAACAAGAACAACAAAACTACCAGCAACAATTACAACTCGAAATCCGTCCTAAATGCGAGAAATTGTAAGGAAAATTTGATTTCCCCGAGGAAGAACCAAGGTAACGTATGTTTTCCTTCTGAAAACCGGAAGAAATGACACGAAGGCCATAGGTAATAGGAAAATAGGGTTCTTGTAGGAAATAACACGGAATCCGTAGGAAAATCGTGATTTCCAGACAAAAAACAAGCAAATCCTAAGGAATTGAAAGAGAATCCGTAGGAAAATCGTGTTTTCCTTTGGAAAAGGAATTGCTGTATTTAGAATCCTTGATTTTTTTGATGCTTATATGTATTGTTTTTTGATGCTTTTGCCCCAGGAATGGCTGTATTTTAAATGATTTTTTGATCCTTGTTTTAATTTTGATCCTTGTTTAATTTTTTTTGATCCCTCACCCCCCCTGAAATCGTCATGACATTCATTCACAAGGACTCGGATTCATTCATATCTTATGAAGCCGACAAAGATCAAAACCTGAATCAGAGTTTGATGTCCAGGAGAGTCGTAATGATCGCGCATAGCCAGCATAGCCAGACAATAACTACATGCGACCGTGAAAAATGACGACACAACAGTTTTTGTGTCTTTTTTTGCGATGGGGAGGGGGGGGGGTCGAGCATAGGTCATGTTCTAGGAGTGTGTTGGGGAGGTTCTTTCAGCAAGAAAGTCGTCGTCTAGGCTGGGGAAAGGGGGTTTGGAGTGGATCTCGTCCTGGCCTAGCGCGAATATCGTCACAAAATTAATGCTTGGAGGATGCAGGTGTGCTCACGCTAGAGAGTCGTTTCTGACATGCGTCATACTTCACGAATCTTCACGACATGAGGATATTTGTTTTACTTTTGATGCCCCGTGCTCTGGCATCTAAGGATACCGCCTGTTTAGGGTACAGCAGATGTCAGAGTCAACGTGCCTGGGTGCCGGCAAAACATCTTCTGCCTCTTTGCATGCTCAAGGACGCCGGTGTTCGGTTTGCGCCTTCTATATGCCGCAGGAGTCTTATGGCATATTTTGTCGCAGTAGCACAGTCACAACGGAAAATTCGACGGCGAGAAGGGTGGAAACGTTGTTGATAATGATTGGTGAGCAAGTGCAGTATGCCCCTTTTCATGCAGCATGCGGTTACTGTGCAGATGCTGTTCGTGGATCTCTCATTAAACGGAGTATGGTGCACCTTTCGCTTGTTTGCTTCGGCTGGACCCGAATGCATGTGCACCCTGGCTTTCGCTGTTGCAGCTTCTTTCATCGGGATCGCCTTCGTGGCTGCATGCTGGCCTCGGCCTCATTTGAGCTGCGCTTGCTCTTTTCAAGATAGACGGACTTTGAGCTTGGCAGAGTCATGGCCAGAAGGACGTCTTGCCACGTCTGTGATGCCTCATCCGTAGATTCTTCAAGAACACACATGATGTGACTGTGACTCTGGCAACTTCTGCAACATCACAAGGCACGCTGGCGGCGAGCGCTTGTTTCTCTCTGCCTCCCAGAAGACAGGTGCCGGACTCCGATCCACTCTGGTGTGATGGCGCCCTGCTTTGGATTCACAGATTGGGACTTAATTTCTCCCCAACTCGTCTCGAGGCTCGCTGCGGGCCCCGCCGACGCATGGAGTTCGCGTTCGCTTCCCATGCATCAAATATGGCTTCAAACCAGCCAGGCTGTAGACAATTGGGCCATTCCTAGAGGTTGAAAAAGATGCATCGACAAGGCTTCGGCTTGTAATTGTAAGCGCTTGCATCGTCTGTTGGGCAGGTGAAGAGTTGTACCAGACGACGAATGCAGCGGGTGGGGCGGGAGGAAGCAGTTTTATTGCTTCTGTGAGCAAATTAGGGGGGTTCCGATCCGAATCTATGATCTGGGGCTTGGCGGCCAAACTCTAGTTCTTTCCGGGAGGGGTGGAGGGGGGGGGGGCACGTGGGTCAGAAAAAATGTGTCTCACTGCAGAGGGGACTCAATCGGAAACAACCTCTGACCGCTTTGAAGCGAATTGGTTTAAACCGTTTTTAGAACCTTTAGATTCAGCGACATGGCTTCTGTCGAAGCTAGCAAAGGAGAGGGAACTAACGCGTCTCGAAAGTTTGCAGAGTGCTTGTAGAATCGAGGCTGAGGACATCAAGGTTGTGCGCTCCTCGTCAATGCCCGAAGCCCAATTTTTTCCTAACAGACTTGCAGCTTTCATGCCGTTGTCCATGCGCAAGTGCAGCCAGCGACCTGGGCAAGTGGTTGTGTGCCTGCCAAGGAACTACTTGGCCCTCTGTGCCACGGCTTTGAGTGCTTGCATCTAAGAGTGGTGTTGGTCCATCGTCGTGTGATCATGATCCAGCCCCTTCAAGAATGCAGCGTGCAGCGGTTGCAGCGTCGTGGCTTTACGTTTGAGGCCGCCGTGTTGGTTCGACGCAGTCCCCCAAAGTCGCGGCCGCGCGTTCGGATCCAGGTCAGGCCTTCCACTACTAGCCCCTGCTGCCACCTCCATGCTGCTTTCAGAAGTATGCAAGACTCAGAATGCAGCGTGTGCCGGACAGGCCTGCCAAACCTGTGCCACACCGTCCATGCAGGCCAAGGCTCTGATATGCCAGGCTCTGCTCACGCCTGCATGTGTCATGATGCAGGCCGGCACGACTCTTCCAATCTCAATCGACTCCATGGATTTCCCGGGAAGTTGGGTACTTAAGCTTGGCCAGCCGGGTGCCAGATTATGTGATTTCTTCATGCGGTGCTCACAAGCAGCGAAACGTGCTCGATCCGGCTTGGCTGCTGTCGGATCGATCTTGCTAGGATGAGGGACGAGCACACAGAACCACACGGAGACAAACAACATGCTGGATAAGAGTATACCTGTAGGGCTTGCCACTGTAACTGCAGGAGGCAAAGGCAAGCGGTTCCGTGCCTTCAGCCATTAATTGCAAGGAGGGCTTGCATACGGTAGTGCTCTTACTGCTCCGCCGAATGGCAAACACAGCAAGCCCGACGGTCGACGTGCTTTGCGACTTGGCTGGGGTATGGAAGTTTCGGAGGTTTTGCTTAGGCGTAGGCATAGCTGCAGAAGCCGGAATCGGAGAGCTTCTGGGTTTCGTCACGGCTAGCGGCTAGTCGCAGTAGCGCCAGGAAGATTGCAGTTCTGCAAGTCTAACACATAGGAGGATGAGCTTGAGCTGAGAGTTGCAGTGCTGAACGTCTCTAAATGTGCAAAGCCTTCCTGAATCTCCGACTTCACCGAGGTGGTGCGTGTTTTGAGGCCTTGCGGCAAGGCCGATAATCAACATTTGGCTGTTGTTGGTGACACCGATACTGCCTAAAGATAAGTGCCGAGCAATCAACATGCTGCTGTTCTTTACACCCACTTCATGCCAATGGCTCCGGACGGAGCTCACATGCAGTGCACGTGTCCAGCAATTGCTTGAAGAGTCTGTACTACGAATCCGTGTGTGCAAGTATGTGCATGCAACAATCGACTGTCTCAGTCTTAGCTCTGTCGGCTTCAATCCAACATATTCCAACTACCTCTCTAGCCTGCACTCCCGACCGTACGCGGCACGATTGTACGCCTCGATCTTTTCGGCCGTCACCGCATTCGAGGAGGCTATTGATTTTGTGCAATGCCTTGCGAGTGGCTGAGTGCCATCGCAAAGCAAAAGGTGGCCAAAGCAATGGAAGATGCTCAAGAGTGAAGACCTTGCGCAACTGTGAGCCTCCGAACACCAACCCTTTCGTCCGTCATGTTCAGGGGCGTCAGGTTAACGCCTAAAGCTCTTCATCGCACCGCAATAAACTAACAGCGAGGGCGAGAGCTAAACAGCAAGAAGGAGGGCCGGTTTCCGAGGCCCAGGTTGGCCGTAGCCTGACGAGGCGACAGAGTCCGGGCCAGAGCACAAGTGTCAAGGCAGATCACCGGCAAGCGAACACAACTTCCGCTCGGGGCTTGGAAGGCCTTGGATGTGCGTCAATTCGAGAAGAACCCCCCAGAAACATAGAGAGGTTTCGAACCAGTGTTCGGGCTTGTCCACCCAGCGGACAAGCTGCTCGACAAGAATTTGAAGCACAGCGGCTCCAGAAGATAGTGTTTTGGTGATTTTGGTGCTCGCCCCACGTTTGGTTTGGTGTTGGTGTCGTTGTGTGAGACGATGTCTCAGTACGCGGTAGTACCTACTCAGTAACGAGACTTAGTACATGTTGCAAAGACATGCACATGCCTGTGTGATTTCCAAAGCATCGCAAACCATTGCGACGGAATTGTAGATTTTGTCCTTCGGAATAGGCCGATCACGCAGGTCAGGATTCCATGCAAGACCTCAGCCGACCAATGCACTTAATGTGTTGCCTTAACAACATGCCACTGTCTTGTGTCGCCAAAGCTTCTGATAGCTTCTGTCCACAACCGGTTCCTGTAAATTCCTGTCATGCTGTGGATGATTGATCGTGTCGCTGACAGGGTTGCCCGTGCGAGAGCAACTTCACCTTCGCGCGACTTGTGCGACCACGAAAGCCTGTGGCTTGCCGGAAGGATGAAGCGACAGGAACTTCGCAGGCTTGCTTTAATGGGCTATTCCCTGGTCTGCGCAAATCCAGAAGAGTTGGTGACACCCTTGCAGAGCGCTATGGTGAGAGCTGGTAAGCTCCCGTGTTTTTGGTGGCCTCAGGTCTTTCTGACACCTCGGTCTTTTGGGACGAGGTCTTTGCTTCCCGGGCGAGCCGCGGCGCAAAGCGTGGAGTGCTCGCTCAATGGCTGGACTACAAAAGGCCTGGGCACTGAAGCTGTCAAGACGCAGCTTAGAGTCGAGCCAAATTTGAGGTGGTACCACCGTGCCGTCACACAAAGCCGCGCGCTGCGGCTTCGACGCCTTTTCGCTGCACTTCGTGGCCCGGTGCTTCCGCAACAGGCCTGAGCGACGAGGGCATAGGCGATGCCCGCTACAGTATATGTAGGTGTCGGGCGCGACATGTCCTGACTGTTGATTGTTTTTCAGCAACTGGCACCTCGCCTGTTTGAAGCTGGATGTGATTTTGACCTGGGATGTCCCAGTTTCTGGACGCCGTGCGTGCTCGTCAGCGCCAAGCGGCCCAGCGCTGTTTGAAGGCAACTGGGCTTGTTTCAACGATTTTCAACGGGCCCAGAACCCCATCAGGCATCAAGTCAGAGTTGCACGGAGTCATGAGGCGTCCAACATGTCAGGTGCTGTAAGTTTGTCGGCAGGCAAAGTCCAACAGCTCTAAAGAACACACCAGTCATGCCGGGAATAAGCATGGGTCAAATCAGAAACCTCCACGAACTGTCAGTGAATCTCACAAGAGCACTGAGATCCGCGAACCGCCTGATTTTCGCGACGATTTCGAACGGGGTGTGGCCTCACGGGAATCCAGCGAGAACGCGCGTCACGGCCGGTGAGAGATGCAAGGAGGTTGATGGAGGAACTGCTGCAACGCGCGCGCCAGTGCAGCTCTAAGAGTCACCGAAGAGCTTTCGACGCCCCGGTGCTGGCGATCAATAATGGCTTTTCGTCGGTGGTGCGAGGTGCGGAAGTGAGGGCAACATATCTGGGAGTTGTTGTGTTGCCGATGCCATGCACCATGGCATGTGTCGGCTTGTGTCGGCTTTAGTAGAGATCTTTGGAGCACCTCCATGTGTCTTGGTGTCCTGCATTGACTGAGGAGCTGCGTGCCCAACGCGCAATTCGCCAAGATGCCGTTCGCAGGGCGCGATTGCGACGGGGCAACATTGCGGAGTGTTCGTGTTCGACTAGTGACTAGTGCGCCGCTCTGATCGTATCCAACACATGTACCCAGGGTTCCGGAGAGCTTGCAGTTCGGATGGCGAAGTTGCTATAGGGCGATGTTGGGTGTCCTGCGCGTCGGGTGTGGTTTCTAGAGTCCAAGTTCTGAGTTTTTCGCATGTCGCACTGCTGCCGACAGTCTGAGAAAGATCGGGTGCGAGTTTCTGGTCGCCGGCGTCGTCGCAGGCCCTGTGCGCTCCGTCAGCTCTTGAGCTGCAGCGACAGTGAGCCTGGCTTGCACGGGGCACTCGTATCACATTTTCGCACGACCTTTTTCCCGGCCTTTCCCCCCTGACCCAGCGAGATAGCAGCATGCTGTTGCTGGACGGCCTTCGCCAGTATGTCGTGTTTTCAACTGAGGCCTACAGGCCCTGGCTTTGGCACCACTTGTTCGCCGGGCCTTCCAACAGCTTCGCAGCTGCCAGGGTCCAAGCTGTGTTCTCAGGAGACTTGCGAACATGTTCAAGGTGTGGCAAACCGTACAGCATCCTGATTCGCGGGCTCGTTGCCCGAACTGCCCGGAGTGTTCCAAGCGTTTTGTGACGATGCTCATGCATTGCAGGTTCAGCAGCTCCCTGAGGCCTGACATGAGTGTGACATGCCTTGCTCCCAGTGATGGTCAGGCCATGTAAGGCCACAGCGAGGACCAGTACCTACTTGCTTGTGCTGGTACTTGCGAAACGCCACCCAACGTCACGGAGTTTAAACGTTCGTTGCTACTTTTTGCATAACCCAGAAAGTCGGCCAGATCGTCAGGGTCAGGGGGAATTTTCCAGCCGTGCAGCAATGAGCCAAGAGCTGGCTGTGACGCGAAAGCACATCTCCAACTGTCGCAAGCCGCTGCACGCAGTTTCGACGTCGCCGCACCGTCTCAAGCTGAAAGTTTGAAGATGGCAGTAGACAGCAGTGGCCTCCAGCAGATCGTATCCCAAACACCAGATAGTTCAGATGTGTGGCTGTTGTATGCACACGTTCAACGTGTCGAATTGCTTGTTCGTTTTCCTTGCATGACACGGTGCATGCTTCTGTCCATACATTCCTGAGTGCTTGTGTGTATATCATTGCAAGCATCCGTCCGCGCTATGTTATGTGCGTGAGTGTATCATGCAATGAATGTAATGCTCTGCACTGTAATGCACTGGGATGGTATAGGATGGGATGTGATGTGATGCAATGCGATGATATGAGATGCGAGGTCTCGCCTCTGGCCTGCCCCGCCTCGGCATACTACCACACCGCGCCATACCACGCCGCACCAGGACCGAGCAGAGCACTTCATAAACAACCTTGCACAACATACAATATCACGTCACGGTTCATCACATCACATAACATAACATGACATGACATTGTGTTGCATGACATGACATCACATTACATCATATTGCAATGCAAAAGGTCAGAGGGCAATGGGCGGATGCAGGCGCAGTTGCAGGGGCAGAGTGTGCGTCATACAACACATATGTGTCGCATATGCCATGTCAGCATGCACGTATGTATGCCTGCATGCATGCATGAGTGTGTCTTCTGATACTGAGGATGCTCCAGGCCGCAACACTAGGTTTGCATCGTCCGCTCTGCACCCTGCATCTTTAGAACTTCTCGTATCTTGCTTTTGAGAACGAGACGCATCGATGGATTGATTCATATGTCAGAGTCAAGATCTATTGATTCATTTGCATAAACTCACAGTTTGGCACGGGGGCCACAGTGTCACCCACGTTGCTCGTTCCGTGGGTGCAAGGCGAGGAATGCCTCTTTTTTTTTCGCAGTTGGCCTGTCGAGCACGAAAAGTCCATTCTGAGCTTGTGCCATGTTGCACCGCGATTGCTTGAAGCTTGCGAGCTGTGCGGCTGAATCGTTGTGTGAACGATTGTGCACAAGCGCTTGAGGCTCGGAAGCTTTGCCCAAAAACGGCGAGGCAGTCACGGAGGCCGAATCGTCCTGCAGAAGACCTTTCCAATTTCATTCCATATCCTGCTTTGCCGCACCCAACCTCGTGCAACAAAGAAAGCTGAGGCGAGAAGTCTTTCCATGCAGTTGTTCGATGTTATCAGGTATCCGTATAATTGTCCATGCTACCGTGAGTACGTTCAGGTGCCACCAGTCATCCTGCCTGCCGACGTAGGGTCTTTTGCCAAAGGCCGGTGGGAGTGTCACGGTTCTTCACGCGCTGCCCTCCAGTGCCGAGTCATGCGTTGGGGCTGTGAGCAGAGCGTGAGGGGACCGGGCGGGGCTGCTGATGCTCAGAACGGAGACATTACAAGTGCACTTTGCCGGCTCTTGGACGGGAACTGACGTCTGGGGCTGTGTCATGCGCAGGAGCTGTTGTCCCCGTGGTCGCCCAAGCTCAGGATCGCGGGCAAAGCGACCACCGCCAGGTGTGCTCTAGTAAAAGCCGGAAATGCAGGGACTCGTCACACCCTTCCTATCCCCTCTCAGCCCTCTGAGCATGCGTCAAGCAGTACCTTCAGGAGAAGCACCGTGCTGGTTACCATGACGGTCAACGAGTGGATCCGACGCCTTTGTTTTGATTTTTCCATCACTTCGCGAGAGTCCAATGCTGTGGCCTTTGTGTTTTCAAAAGCAGGCTTGTGCCGGCTGTTCTGTTGACAGGCAAAAGATCGAAACTACCGCCGACAGGTATGATGCTGAGCTTGAGGGCGTTCGGTGCAGTGGACTTGTGCGATGCTGTCAGGGCTTGATAGGGCTTGCAGATCCCTGGCGTAGTCTGCCGAGGTGGGCTCGCGGCTTCTCGCGCCGCTTGGCGCCGTACCCTTGGCCCTGTCCTTCGACCCGAGTCGGGCTCGGCACACAGCGTCCTGAAGTGTTAAAATTCCACGCTGTGTCTCGCTGTTCTGAGGTGCGCCTGAAGCTCCAGCGAGCAGTTCAGCACCGATTTGCCACCTCTGCGACCGGAAGGGAGGGAAAGGCCAGTGAACCTTGCCGTCAGGAAAATGGCTCATGGCCGTTAGCATGTATGGATGAGACAGCCCGAGCGTTTCTCAAGGATTTCTCACTAGCCTTAGCTGGAAACTGTATGCGAGTGCTGCGGATGAATTCGCCCGGGCAGGCACGGTCGCGATCCGAAGGCAGGGATTTGAGCTTCCAGACAAGTTTCGCTCGGCCTAGTTTTTTCCCACTTGCCTCAGCCCGAGCATATTCAATCTCTTACTGTTTCTGGGCCTGAGACAGTTTGCCCGGTTTTGCAAAGAAATGTCGGGAATAGCGGCGTTCTCCTATCACCCAGGCACTCGTAAGACATGTCGGCCTTGACGTGCAAACATTCATCTGGGTGATCTCATCTGCTGTTCGGTCCACCATAATGTAAATAAGTGAGGGTCTGGAGTCTGAAGTATAAGCTATTCTTGTTCAATCTATGCATATATAAACGGCTGTATGTATGTATTTATGTATGTATGTAAGTATGTCAGTATGCCTGTCGAAAAACCATACATGCAGAAGACTGGTATGCCAAAGCTTCATGACCTAACATAGCATTCTTCATATGGTGTAATGCAGTAAAATGCAGTATAGCATAGCACGGTATAGCGGAATTGCATAGTATAGTACAGTATAGTGATCGTGTAGTGTAGCATCGCACAGCTTAACATAACACTGGAGCATGACTGAACATGCAATGGCATCACATTTGATCAACTCTTGTATCATAGCACGACATGGTATAACACGCTGCACTATACAACGCGGTACTTTACTTTCACTTTTCTATACTGTCAGAACGGAAAATATACTTACGATGTAATGTCATACAAGATGATATGACACAGTACAACATGATGTGGCAGATACAGCATAATCCAAAATGATATGACAAGGTATAGCGTGGTGTGATATGACAAAAGATGATACAGTATGATATACATGAGGCAGCATGATAACTATTGACCCGTATTGACTATTGCTGTACTAGAATGCAGTATAATGTAGCACAATGCTGCACTATATAACATAACACCGCATCTCACTGCACAATACAATGCCATATGCCGCCGTACATAGCGATGGAATAGAATAGGTTATAGTTTTTTATGAGTTGGTATGGTATACCATGCTATGATGCGGCATGATATGACTTGATGTGTTATCATACAACATAGCCATGGCATAACATAACACAGTATAACGTAGCATAACATAGCACACTTGCGCCGAATGCGGTTAAGCACAGTGGAGTATAACACTGATACGGCATCATACAGTATGATGTAGTATAATACGAAATCACGTAATAGTATTAGTGTAGGATATGAGATGCGTCAAAGGTACAACATGATATACCATTACATGGTGTAACAACTGTATAGCAGTATAATATAGTACAGTCTAGCAAAGTATAATGTAGTCAGATGTTATACCAAAAGTAGTATAATGTAGTAGAATATCGTATAATGCAGCATAGTGAGGTGCAGTATAGTATAGTTTAGTAGATTATATGACAGACGTACATGGCATAATGTAGTCTCATACAGCAAAACATGGTATGGTGTATGATGTATTTTGAAGCACAGTATTTTTTGAACTGATACCTTTCTGAGTTTCCGTTACATTTCTTAAGTCTCTTGCTCTATTACTTCTGCGCACACATTCTGTCTCTGTCTCTATCTATCCATCTCTCTGTCTCTCCCCTCTCACTCGGGCTCTGGCTCATTCGCTTTCACTCTCTCGCTCTCTCCGTCTTTCTGCCTCTTTCTCTCTCAGTAGTTGCATGCTTTGCTTCTAACCGCCATGTCCCCCATTCCCTTCTGTAGCTTGTCTGTCAATTTCGATAGGTCGCTGCAACGAAGGCGGCTTGCAAACTTTCACTATCAATAGCACCACGCCCAGTTTGTCGGGCCTCGGACAGCGCATACGTCAAGTCCGTGCATCGATGTCTCAAAGCAGTGCGATTGAGTTTACTTGCCACCGTGGAGCTGTCAAGGCATGGCAAGATCATACCTACATCGAAAAAGCGTGCGGGCACTCAGTTCCGCCGTAGCCGTAGTGCTTTCCGTGGCAATGCAAAATATCGCAAGGCTTGAGAAGTGCAGCTCCTGCACGTGGATTGTACTGAAAATGCTTTGCCGGAGACATGATCTGAGAAACTGTTTGATCCACCATCAGGCGCCAGAGCTGACCCTGACATTGACAGCAGAATCGCTCAGGGAAGTCCAGACATTGCGCCTTGCTCGACCAGCCACGAATCGCTTCTGCGAACTTAGGCACCGTAGCAAAATCGGCACTGCAAGTATGTCCCAACGATTCTTGACGAAGCCGATTGTCATCAGCCAGACACAAAGGGAGAAGGCTAGCCAGCAGCATTCCGCTATTCCGTCCCGAGCTTCAAGCCGAGGACATTTGTTACATTGTTGCGGTAGGATCGTGCTCGCCACGGGAGGTGCGGTACGTTCTTGTCTTTGTATGCGGATCCACATCCATCATCATCCATCCATGGAAGGACGGCAGGAGAGAAAAATGCGTTGACCGATGTACGTTTTTGGACGTGCATTACAACGACAGTGAAGGCAAGACTTCGCCGAACTGCAAGCTCTCAATCCAGAGAACATCCAGGCAAGCAAGGAACAACTGTTCCGAAGCTTCACCAAATGAGTGGAACCCAGCCGAACAGATCGAACCCCAAAGCAGAGCGCAAGGGCCCTCATGAGATTGCTCAACTCCGGTCTATGTTATCCAGAGTGCATCAGGCATCGTGGCCAAGCACTGCGACGCCATGAAAGAGCGTAGACCTGGGACTTCTCACGTTGCTGAATTCAGGTGCCCCGAGACCACATACTTTTCCACAAAGTCGAGAACCCCCTTGCCATAGCTGAGCACTTGACTTCGACACCAAAACAACCTTGGGCTGCGGCCCACGATCCAAAGAGCACTTCGGATTCGAGGCTGGACTCCTTTTGGAGTTCTCCAAGCTCGAACGAGAGCACACCAAGATGCCAACAATCGGTATGGAGAGAAAGCAAAGCGAGAAGAGGAGCATGTCGGAAATGCGCTGCTACATCTCTGCCCGATTGGGCCACCTGCGCTTTCAGCATAGTGACATAATGGACACCAGCCAGAAAGCAGGTCTCGAAAGCAAGGGGCAAGTATGCACAGCCTATGCGTGGTAATAGTACGTGTCTCCACGATTGGGGACCCGATGCTGGAGCTGTTCAGCCGATGGTGTAAGCAGATCAGGCTGAGACATGGAATTGACTATATTGGCAGTGCCGGCATGCCATTCGACATCCGTTGACACAGAGGGTCAGTTTGCGAGACCCAGAAGCCAGGCTCGTTCCAGTCCCCAGGATGCTTTCAGAAGATGCCCAACCCTCGGAGGTTTGGGGGGAGGAGGGATCAGGAGGGATTAAGAGGGTATAGGGCCTGTTACCAGTACCTGCAAAGCCCAGTCCTTGCGCTGTGTCGCCAAGCGCCTGAAGCGGCCGCCGCCGGGACCGACTGCGGGAGGCCGAAGCCAAACGTGTCAAAGGTGCCCCTTGAGTTTTAAGTCGGTCAAGGGCCTTCGTCTATTAACGCAGGTCCTGGCTTCGGGCCCAGATGCTTCAGCAGCTGGCCCTTCAGAATAATCAGGCCGACGTGGAGAACGGCGGTTGTCACGCCCTGAAGCTTGCTGCTGGCCTCGTGCAGGGCTGGAGTTCATCTGCAAACGCCTGGAATGTTGCTGCTGAGGCATGATCTTGGCTTCTCACTGCTTCGGTTGCTTGCTTCACCAGCATCTGCTTTGCAAGTGCCAGGTACTTTTCTGCCTTGGAAGCGATTGTTTGCCGTGGCTGTGAAAGGGCCGTTTCAATGCCCGGCATGCAGCCAGCTGCTTTTGCGACGCTGGAAACCCCTCATCACGACATGGATCTTCACATGACAGACTTGGAAAAAGGGAAGGAGGTCGTAGCCGTAGCCTTTGCAAGGTAGGATACTCGTCATGCTAGTCAACGGTTGGGGCGTTGGTGGGGTGTTCACTCCGTCAGGAAGCGGCGTTTCTCGGGCATCTTTCACAATGCCCTTCTGTGCAGCAGATCGCAAAAGCCAAAGCACGTCACTGAGACGACTCGCAGAACGAACCTCAGGATAGATCTTGCCGGACAAGGCTGAATGTTGCCGCCGCCGCCGCTGCCGCAATTCTCAGCCATTGAGGCACGAGGTCGGGGGCGGGAGAAATTCTGCGATCCGTGGAAGGTGCTGCCCTTGGTCCTAGCCCAAACCGAAGCGGCCGCATGTTGGGTTTCCGCTTGCTTTTCGCAAGCTGTGTCTGGCAAGCGCAGTTTCACAGGTCTGGCATACCAAGCTACCAAGCCATGGAACCCGACAAATTTTGCGTCGAAGCTTCTCAGCAACTTGCAGATCTAACTCACGGCGAAACGGACATCGCCAAGATAACATCTTAGGACTTCCTTGGTGAAAGCTCTTGTGCAACAAGTGCAGCGTTGTTTTCAAATTTCACGGGTGGACATGCACGATATGGTCGCCGGATGTCGCCGGTGTTCCAGCCATCATCTCTGAGCTGGATAACCCCTTCAGGTTGAGTTGAATGTGTCAACTGTCAGCCAGCATCTTTAGGGTCATCCCGTCATCTCCATGTTGAGTTTGGCTTTCGAGCACTTCTGGCCAGCGGCTTCGCACACTTAGGCTGCAGGGCCATGGCTTGGTCTCGTGGGCTACGGCTGGATCCTAAGAAGTTCCGATTTTATGTTCTGCTGTGTTCTGACAATGCCTGGTGGGTCCCAAAATTGCGTAGAATTCACAAAACTCCGGATTGCTATCGCTCGAAGCTGAGCAGATGGGATTCTGTTACCTTGGGGCGTGATTCGCAGTATTTACGGGCAGCCTGCAGAATTCGCCTCAGTTGCTGTTTGCTACTCAAAAGCACTCTGCGCAGCAATTTGCCTTGATCTCGCCATCTTGCTTTGTCGAAAGCCGCTGGAGTTTTGACCCTGGTTCGCCTGATGCTGTGCCACCTGCAACTTAGACTCGGGCAGCACTTTGTTCAACCGGATGGTCAACCATTAAATCCTGAATTGCACGAACAGTCCAGCCACCTGTGTTTGGGTCTTGGCCTCTGTACCGTGGAGATGGATCGATTCCAGCACTTATTAAGCTTGGCAAGCTGAGGTGGATGGAATGTACAAGAGCAACAAGTCAAAGCCCCAAGCATTCACTACGACAGGTCAACACAGTTTAACATCTTGACAGAGCAGGGCAACCTACAGGTAGCGCATTGAAGAAAGGGGCAAGGTAAGTTATTTTGGCGCCAAGACATTCTTTCTCGGCGGCGACACGTGTTCAATGCCGAGGAAGAAACATGTTGGTATGGGAGATGTTACGGCATGTTCATCCAGTTTTCGGTTTCACCGGTCAGCAATTTCACAGTTTGGCTAAAAAGAACAAACTTGCAGAGATTCGCTTTCATGTGATTGCTTTGGCAGCCAGTGTATGTGATGGATGTTCCCTTGCAGCGTGCATTTGCTTCCCACGTGTATTTGCCCGGTGCTGGGAACCATGGCAGGTTGACATGTGCCTGTTTTGTGATCACTAACAGTGGACAGTTGACTTCAGTACGTCAACACCTGGCTGGGATTTCCTGGCGCTACACGCTTGACTTACCCTCCCCATCCCGGTGTATCAGGTCACAAGCGGTGCCATGTCTGGGGGAGCCGAATGTGGGCACTGTGTGAATGAGCTTCTTTTCATGAATTGTATGAGCTTCATGTGCTGGCTTTATTACAAAGGTCAAATTAGATCTGTACGGATGTGGCACCTGAGGGTCAGTGGTTTCGTAACGGAGGCTAGCGCAAATGTCGGGACGGCTGTTCAGCGACAGGCAGAGGTTAGACTGGTACATCATGACGCGCTTTGTCGAATTTCTGGCATCACCGCCGCATGGCCAATGGGTGTTGGGATTGGCAGTGTCCAACAGTCGACTCTGCTACAGGCTGTATGTGTAAGGTTTGCTGCATACCCTGGGCGAGTTTCTATCAGTGACAGACATGCAAGGCCTTCGAGCTCGCTGCATTGTGGCAATCCAGCTGCGAGGGCCTGAAAAGTGGCACAGGAAGCTTTGTGCATCACAGTATCACGTCCCCTCATGGCAATCATTGGCGTTCGCAGCTGAATCACGGTACTCTGCAAGAAAGCCTTCCTCGCTGATCCGTCTCGTCATCTCGTCCATTACCTTATGGATATACCTCGGATGCCAGCACCTGTTGGCACGTACATTTGCAGAATTCCTCCGCAATTCAAGTGTATGCCACTTCCCACATCGCCCCCGAGACCCCCCCCGCTCGGGACTACAAGCCAAAATCTCATAGCACAAACATATCGCTTGAATACATAGGAGCAGTTATGCGTTATGCTTGCGCAGTAAATCTGTAGTATCGAAAACAAAGTTGTGTTTATTCGACTTGCCCATAGGATGCCAGAGGATGGTCTGAAAAGTGCAAGGTAAGTCGAATTTCACGGTCACAGCTGAGAGCACGTCTGAGCTCGGAATTTGCCTAAGCGCATCACTTCTTCTACACGGCCCGCACGGCGCTGCCAGGTCCTAGCACTCGGACTTGCCATTGCAGCTATGGCATTTGCAGCAAGTTGCCAGGGACACAGAAGTGCCGAGTCTGCCACACTCCTAGTGGATTGTGATTGGAGACGGTTACGCTGATGATTTGTAGTTCGAACCCACGCCGATTGCATATTGTTCTGACGCAAGAGCCGAGCAAGTCGGGGCACAGGTGATCAGACCGCGTTTGTGGCTGCGACAGCGCGCCCAACTCAGGCCAAGTTGGGAAGAGAACAGCTAGGCTTCCTTTGAGACGGTCGTAGTAGGAAACGGATCTGTCCTTCTGGTTCTTGTAGACCTGGGCACTGCCAGTCAAAGGTGTACTGAGTGCCCAATCCATGAGGGATCCATGGATGTCAGCCGGGCGGCTTCATATATCCATGTGCAAATGCCGCAACCGCGAATGTCAATATTCAAAGTCTTTTCACTTTGTTGGCATCATGCCAGACTAGTTGAGCAGTATCCGAAGCGTCTCGAATCCAAGGCGGATGCATGACTGTCGGAATGTTTGTGCTGGGCATCAGCACAACGGTGCGTGTCGCTTTCCATGCCTATTCACCCGTGGTGTCGGAGGTCATCGCATGTTCACGGTAACTGTACGTTTTCCTGGCCTCGAATATGAGAGGAGACCGTCGCCGCTTAAAAATACAGGTTTTCGGCTCAAATCGACCGCCGGGCTGCTCAAACTCCAGAGGGCTTTCAGCCTTAACCGGCAGGGTGCTTAAGTTTAACTGGGTTTCAGTTTGGGTTGGGTGCTGAAATTTAAGCGGCGTTTCCGCTTAAACCGAGTGGCCCGGATGCTACCTTCAAGCCGGCTTGGTTTGTGATGCTTCCTCTAAGCCGGCTTGCGGTTTCAATTTGCTTTACACTCGCCGAGGTGCTTTAATTTAACATGCTGTCTGCTTCAATCCGCCGACGCGGTGCTGAAAATTGAACCCCTCTTCGGCTGAACCGGCCGTGCGGTTCAGCCCGATTTTCGGTTTGCGGGAGGTGTTTAAGTTTACCGATTTTCCGGCGTTGGCCGCCAGGTGCTTAAGATTAGAAGGGCCGGTGGTCAAGCAGATTGTTGGATGAATTTTCCCGAGGCGCAAAAAAATAATCGGTTTTGGTGTTAAATCTGCAAGAAGGCGTTGCAATCTAATAGGTTTTCGGCTACAATCGGCAGCCGGGTGCTGAAAATCAATGGGTTTCGGGTTTGGTTGTCGAAGTCTGCTTTAACTGAGTTCCCAGTAGATTCAAGCTTTGCAGGGTTAATTCAGTTGCAAGGAAAAGGATGATATTAAATCAATCCAACATGCAATAAGGCAAGGGGAGCGCAAAGAAGGTATATGGAGGCGGGATGGACGACTTGGACCCGGCGCTGCCTTACCTCAGTGTCCCATCTGCCAGCGCTGTTCGGGAGCCTGGCTGCCAAAAGAACCTCGAGGGCTCTGGAAAGGCCCTGCGGGCCTTTAGCTTCTCCTGGCATGGACACCCGCAAGATTTGGGAGCATGGTTGGTCAACGGTCAAGGGCCTAAGGGTGACACCATGTTTTCATTCTCACCATCTAGCCTCCGGTCTCGAGGCCATCTTCTGGTAATACTTATGACTTGCTTTACTGGTAGCAGACACGGCCAGTCAAGTGCTGGTAACCTAAGAGCCCCCCAAATCGGAGATGAACCTCGGGGAGCTAGCTGTCGTCGTGGTTGTGGGTTTCTCCCACTGGGAAGGCACAGATGCAGACTGCGTCTGTGGCTGCGACCAAGGCTCATGGGTGCCGCCGTACCCGTAATGCTCCACGCTCGCCTTGTTCTCCTCTGAAAAGCACAGGCACTGATGAGAATACTGGCTGCCAGGCTCCCTTTTCAACTGGTCCCGCTGTCTCTGGCTGGCCAGCTGCAATGCTTGCCGGAGACTTTGCGTTGCCACGGTTTGAGGGTGACGATAGATCGGCAGACAATTGCGACGTGCACGGGTTTGCGGGGCTGAGGCAACGGTCGCCATTGCCACGGCAGCCCTTCGTTCCACACCACGCCGTGCGCCACGTGCACAGGCAGGTGACGAGTAGTGAGTCGGCATCATTCTCGGAACCGGAGCTACTCAATGTGGGGGGTCGCTTTTGCAGACCTGATCGTCATGCCTGTCTGCTATTCCTGGAGGTGGTGCTTACTCGTTGTCTCCCCGTTACTTCTCCAATGCCAGAGGCGGCTCCTCTGTTTGTGGCAGACTGTCCGAGCTAACAGTAGTTCGGCCGTGGCTCAATCAGAGAAGCTAATTAAGACGAGCATGTGGCAAGACTGTGGCTGGTGATAGGGTTCGACTTGCTTTAAGCTCAAACCGCGTGGGTCTCGGCACTAGCAATCGACTGTTCCGATCCCTTCTGTTGCCTGTGACTCACCCTCCGGCATAATTGTGGAGTCTTGGCAGATAAAGAGCCAAGCGACTCATGAGACTGGGCTGTGCTCATTGGCCAGGTCTCCACTGAATTGCCAACTGCGACACCTGTGACACCAGAATGGAATGAGGATTGGCTCTGGGGCCGTAGGGCTTCAGGCCCGGCAGTGGAGAGTGTCGGGACACAGCAGGACCTGATCTCCTTCGAGATGGCTGCGGAGAAGGCTTCCGGCATATGCTCGCAGTCAATGCAGTTACAGGGGCACACATAAAACCACACAGAAGCACTATGCATGTCTATGCATCACAAAGTTGAATAATCTCACAGGAGTGCAGCTTGCCGCACGATCGTGTGCAGAAGGCGCCGAAGCAGATGAAAAATGCATGGACCATCACTGTGGAGATGGCATGAAGCTGGAACTTGCGCAAGGTCGATGCACCGAAAAGCAGCGGCACTGCTCAAAGCTTGATTCTCAGGGCAACTCCCCAGCTTGAACCTTGCAGCCCTTGCAACTTGCATCACCTGTACCGCTGAAAATGGCTGAGGTCCCCGCCCGACACCGCGCCGGTCCCGCGACTTCCATGAGGTGAGCCACTCTTCGCCAGTGGAAGGGCCATCGCATCAGAATGCGGCACCGTGCATCGTCATTGCTTGCTCTTTTCAGCGCAGGCTGGTGCCAGACGTGAGCGTCGTCGCGTCGGGTTGCTTAAAGCCGGTGCGTATCATCAATGCGGATAGAGCCGGGAGAGCAAGGGTGTCAGATCATATGCCACAGCACGGAGACACGCAAACCAAGATCGGCAGCCGTCTGGTACAGCACTTCGAAGTCTGCGCGAGCCAGCCATCTTTCGAGCCAAGCAAGGTGCCGCAAGGACGTCTAAACGAGTGTCGGCATGAGTGCATGCAGGCATGCATGTCCGCTCGGTCCCTCCCGCTCTCAGGTGCCAATGGTCTTGCAGGAGGCGATGCAGCATGGGCCACGCCCACGCACAGCCTCCGGGCGCGAGTCGCGAGACTGCACCAAATTGGATGGATGAATGACGCCTTAACAAGCAAGTGATTAACAAAGGTCCAAGCCCTTGGTCGAGGCCGGAAGCAGCTGTTGCGCCGTTCTAATTTGCCAGTAAGCTGGTTATGGCAGTTTCTGCTTCTGGTCCACCGTGCGGTCGAACATGCTCATCTATTCTCATCCAGCCAAACACCTGAAAGCCTGTGCTGGCCCGGGCATGCCCGGGCACGGATCAACTTCCCAGTTTGCGACTGTGGCTTTCCCTGGAGGCTCCGGGCCTATCTGCATCCCTAGACATTGGCCCGGGGCACAGTCGCCGCTGCATAGACTATTTATGAGGCTGGCAAGTCTAGGCAACTTGTAATTATGATCATCGTCTTCATCACCATCATCGTCATCATGATCCTGATCACCAGCTGAAGTATCTGGTGCTGTAGCTGTGGGAGTGATACGGTTCGTGACCTGCAGTTTCGGTGACCGAGGATTAAAATCATTCAATGTGGAACGCGACGGCCTCATCGCGAGTCGAAGAAAACTTCTTTGCCGTGCGTCTCCGAGCAGCTGATTTGGTGAAGGACACTAGTTTCTATCCCGACTGCCTCTTGCTTCGCTGCTACAGGTTGAGAGTGTTGGCCCATTGTGGGTTTCGTGGGAATGATCCAGTATAATATACTGTGATATGACATATTATTCATGCTGTAGTAGACTATACTGACTTGTATGTATTGCATGACATAGGCTAAAACTGCTTTGTGTTTGGTAGGCACTGGGTGAGCAGTCTTCACTGCAAGCAGAGCTGAAGCGAAATGCGTGTGCCATTTCGGTTCAAGGTTTTGACCCAAAACGGCTTAGAGTTTTCGTTTTGCAGCAGGGACCTGCTATCATGGAATATGCGATTGCTCGCTTGGCTGTACACACCTGCTTCACCGCGCCGCTATGCTCGACTATCGGGCCAGGTTGCGCGAGCTGGTGGCGGCGGGAGCATCTTATGAAGCTCTCGAGATTCAGCATGTTCCGCCCCGCCGCCAGGAGTTCCTCCAATCCGGGTCGTGCCCCGTGTGGACCAGGGTTGCGCGCGTTGCCGGGACGGTGGGGGCGGCTATCAATTCCCATTGTCGGCATCTTCAGTCGGAGGTCGGTGGTGGTGGCACCGGGCACCTCTCCTATGGCCTCTTGGGAGCACCACCATGGGAATGCTGAAATCTTGTCAGGTATGCAGGTGCTGGGGCTTGCAAGCGGTTTGTGGCCGACCGATCTCCTCCCAGACCATGCCAATCGTTTGGTTTAAGACGTCAGGTTGCAGCGGCACTCTCTGGGCGTTACCCCAAGTTATGGAAGCTGTGGCGCTCGTGGCATCAGGGACAGCGAGTGTGGGGGAAGCCGGGCTACGAAAGCATGCCTTCTGGGGGGCAGGCATGGTGGCCTTGCCCTCGCATTGTGCTTCGTGCGGCTGCCCTTCTGCCTTGCGCTGTCGCAGATGTGATCGCCCGGCTTGCTTGGATTGCCTGGCGGCTTGGGCGGTAGCTGCATTCCTGGCACCCCTTTCCCTATGAAGAATATGGTGCTGGGGCGCTGTGTTCAGTTTGGAGGTTGGTGGCGTCCTTCCTATGATGCCGTGTAACTGCCACGGTGCTCCTGGGCGAGTTTGCCGGGACAGCGTTCTTTGCATTCTCAGTTGGTTGCAGGCTTTTGCGTGTAAGTCCCATGTGTCATGCACGGCTCCCATTTCTCCGTCGGCTCGCTCAGTTGTCTCGGGCCTTGCCCGCCTTTCGCCCGGACGGTCCCTTGACAGAGGAGCTCAGGCCTGGGGTGAGCTGGCGGCATGGCAGAGGGCACGCTCTCGGCCATTGGTTTCCGAGCTGGTGGACATCGATTCCTTCCTGGCGGACGGCACGCCTGCTCCGACCCTGGCCTGGGCGTGCTTGAGGTGGCTGGTCAAGAAGGTGAGGCTTAACCTGGACCTGGCCGATATCTATGTGGCACCTAGCAAGCAAGGTCGTGGTTTGGTTTCGGGGGTGATATGATCAGCTTCCTGGCTTCTTGGATGATAGGATTTCTGGGCTGGCGCACGCCAGTTGGTTGGCGTTGCTCGGCTCCTGGTCAATAGCCGCAGTCAGGCGAATCTCGGAGACTGTGTTCCGCGGGCATTGCTGCGGGAAGCAGGCTCACCTTCGCATCTCCGGGTTCGCCTTGTGGCTTGAAATGCGGGGGTGGGGGTGAAGCTCTGAAATATTTCAGGGCAGCTTCGGTCGAGGTGGGGGTTGATACCTTGGTGGTCAGTGGTGGGGGTCGGGCTTGAAATTTCAGGGATTTCCTGGGATATCCACTCCTTTTCCATTTCAAGAGCGTCGTCGTTTGATTCACCGGCTTACTGAGCTCAAGGGCCCTGGTTTACAATCAAAGGCAGTGCAAGGTGAACTACTTGCGGAACCATGGCTCCGAAAAGGAGGGGGTAGGTAGGCATGGCTCCGCAGAACTGTGCATGCACAGACAAATCTCGGAACCACTTCTTTTTTCTTCCTGTGTGGCCAGCAGCTCAGCTCCCCCGGTGCACCAACAGGCATCAGCTTGTTGAATCCTGTTTCCACTCCGCTTTTCTTTGTACGTATCAGCCTTACCGTTACAAAGGATGCCACCGGATCTTCACATGATAGGAAATGATGGGTTTCCATTAGAAATATAGTAGCAGCCTTACGCAAGAGGCCACTGGGGGAAAGGGTTGTGGGGACCAGGCTGTTTTCTTTTCTTCCTAGCCTTGCTTTGGGTTTAAGGTTAAAGTTTAAAGGCTTCGGGTTTGAGGATTGCAGGGCCTTAAACCCCGAAACCCCAAAGCTCGTAGCCCTAAGCTGAACCCTGAACCCCTCAACCCTAAACCCTCCAAAAACCCTTGACCCTAAACTCCCCAGGACCCTAAACCCTAACTGGTGGCAACAGAGGAGTCCTGGCCCGAAGCCTTTGATCGAAGGAAAAGCAGCCAACCCTTTCCCCCAGTGGCCTCTTGTGTAAGGCTGCTACTATATTTCTAATAGAAACCCATCATTTCCTATCATGTGAAGATCCGGTGGCATCCTTTGTAAAAACAGTAAGGCTGGTACGTGCAAGGAAAAGGGGAGGGAGTGGAAACAGGATTCAACGAGCTGATGGCTGTTGGTGCACCGGGAGAGCTGAGCAGTTGCCGGCCGCACGAGACGAAAAAGGAAGTGGTTCGGAGCCAGGGCTACCTACCTCCCCCTCCGAGCACTTCGAAATTTCACGGAACCTTCACCCGCCCCTGGGCTCTATTCTGTTTTATGCGGGTGGTTGAAACGGATTCAACCTTATAGGGGGGGGGAGATCCTCACACCCCCCCCGACAAGGGGGTACTAATTTGGGTTCGGCTTTGCGGTGCCCGCGAAATGTCCTTGACCCGGGCTTTGCAGTCACCGTGCTGTACTTGAGCTTCGAGCCGGTGGCTGCCGCTGTCGCGTGTGAAAGAGAGGCGCAACATAGAACCCGCAAAGATTCTGAGGGAGCGAGGCGACACTTTATCCACAAGATGCGGCGTAACACTTCGATTGGGCAAGCGGCGCCGGCACCAACAGCCTACGTGGCAACGGCACTGTCCCATGTGCACGTCGCGGCCAACGACATCCCGCTGTGCAAGCACAATCCAAAGTCCTGCAGTTGCGAGATGCCTGGTCTACGGCCGATCGGGAAGAAGCCACTGGTTGGAGAGTGCAGTCTTGTCAGGCTTGCCTCAGGCTGTCCCCAGCCTCTTGGCGCCCAAGATGATTGGGCGTTGCACGGCACCCCCCACGCTGAGTTAGGCGCCAAGACGACGATGCTCATGCCCAATTGTGGGCCTCCAGGAGCCCCCCGACCAATTAAGAGCAGCGGCCAGACCAGGCCCGCGCAATGACATGCGCGGGCCAGCAAACAGGAGCGAGGCTTCCAGCTGTCGGGAGTTACCTGAGGTTCTCTGTTTGCCCGGCAACCGGGTGCAGTGAAGAGTGGGAGAGTCAGCAGTGTTGCATCTCTCACCCCTCTCTCTTCTGTCTTCCTCTCCCTTTCTGTCTCGGGACTCGGCAGCTTCCCGGTTCCCCCCCGCTCTGGGAACCGCTACGTTGCCGCTACATGCCAGGTCCGCAGCTGCTCGGCCGGTCTTGATCGCCGCCATGGGCATGCCTTCGTCCGTCACTCCAGTCCCGAGGGACGGGACCGGCTTTGGCAATACCCTCGTGTCGATGGGTTTCAATTAATTTCGGGCTGGACGATATAAGGTGCTGCAAGCACTCGTGGCCCAAGTTGCAAATTTTGGAGGAACTGCGCTACTTCTTTGCCGAGGCAGCAGTGGATCCGTGGCCTCCTTGGAGAGGAACACAATATTCAGGCAGCTCGGCTGAGACGCTGTTGGGCGCGTTCGGCTCCACTTTAGCCAGTCGGAGGCGGATCGCTCCAAGGTTGCTTTGGTCGATCTTGATTGCATTCTGGATGAAGGCGAGCTCCGAGATTTGAAGACGAACTTCTGACGTCAGACGCGACCATCTCCTGAGTCAGCCGGGAAATTTCCAAGCGCATGTTGTGCGTGTTCTCGGTGTGGAAGGTGAAGAGTTTGCAGCGCCAGTTGCTCTCGTCGGTAAAGAAGCGGAAGCTAGCCCCGAATCTTTTCACAGAGGACGACGAACCCGACGAAGCAATCCCCAAAGACGCAGAATCTTACCTGGACAGGCTCTTCACTCTGTGCCTCTCGTGTGCCTTTGCGGGCACGACAGCCGTGCCCCAGCGCCCGCCGCAAACGAGGAAGTAATTACGATGGCGCTCCTGGACGTGGCTATGATGTACTGGTTTCGAGCTAAGCGCGCAGCTGCGTCCGTCCCGGTGGCCAGGCGGCTTGCGTGGCCTCAGGCGCGTGACCAGGAGGGGTGAGCAAGGATTGGATTCCGATGTCAACTGGCGCCATCTCCGCCCCGGCACCGTCTGATACCTCTGTCGGCACAGTCGCCGGCAAGAAAGTGCTCTCAACATGAGTTCGCATACTGATAGTTACTTGCTACCAAGGCTTGCCGACTTGCAAGACTTATGTCAGGAGACGTCTGCCAAAATGGCTCTGCCATTTTGGCTCAAGATCGTGGACCGTGGGTCCTTCTAAATTTGTTACCGCTCCCGCTTTCTCCCTTGCGACTGTCGACCATGGCACTCACCCCCGTTGCTAATGTCGATGACGTCCTTGCCTCCAGCATGGAGACGGTTGAGAGTTTGATCCCCGCTCGCGACACAGGGGACAGTGATCCGGAATGGGAGAAGCCAGACGATGATGTTGCCTTGGCCCGTGCTACCTTGGCACACAATGTCCATGCCCATGAGGATGAGACCGCAAACACGGCCCTGGCTTCCTTCACGGCTCTGGAGGTGGATGACACCAGCATGGCCCTTCGGCTCCAGGAAATGGAAGCGGCCATGTCCCGCCTCCTGGCAAAGGGCGACGAGATGGTGGCTGTCACTGGACAGGAGGTGCCAACCACAGGTGACTTTGTCCCTGAGGAAGGTGCTCCTGATGATCCCATGGGAAGCGAGGATGTGCCAACCACAGGTGACTTTGTCCCTGAGGGAGGTCCGTCTGATGACCCCAAGGACAAGGCGAACAAGACCAGACCTTACTCTGCCCTACCCGCCGGCACCCTGGAGGAGAAGGTCTTCCACATCGAGGGCTTCCCAGAGGACTTCCCGGGCATCGGCAAGAAGAGTGCGGACCTGGCACAGCAGTTGACGAAGGAGGAGATCGCATCCCTGTTCTCCAAGCTCAAATCGGAGCAGTGGAATCGCCCGGCCGTGGAGAGGGTCCTGGAGGTGTATCATATCTACAAGCGCCAGTTGGCCCAGGAGAAGATGCTGGCTGCCCCCTACAACCGTGCTCGCAGAGGGGTCGGACACAGCAGCATGGGTCAGTTGGACCCTGGCAGCACTGGGGCTACCCTCATGTGCCCAAACTGTTTTTCGGATTGGCAACGGCAGGACAACAAGGTCGAGGGGAAGTGCAAGCTCTGCCAGAAGTCCGTCATTGCAGTGGACAAGGGCCCCCCCTCGGCAGAGATCAAGCTCGGCTCTTCCTCCTGGCGGATGTTTTGTGGCCCCAGAGGTGTCACTTGGCACACGGATGCTGATGAGACACAGAAGGAAGCTGCCTCCGTGGACATTGCAACAGACCAGAAGGAGCTCAGCTTTGCCGACCAGGTGCCTATGGCCCTGAGGCTTAGCCTGGCTCACACGGTGGCAACCCAACCTTCGACGAGGTGATGTTTGCCAACAAGGAGGCGGGAGAAAGACCCCACCTCAGAGACGATTGGCAGCCGAGCCAGGAGACAAGGGCTTTCCACCCGCAGCTGTCGGCCGCAATGGACATTACGAAGAAGAGCTCGGGCCCAGTAGACAAAGACGCCAATAAGCCCACGGAGGAGGAGTTCCTGGACCACATCAACCCCCAGCTGGATGTGATCGTCGAAATGCAAGCGGGCGCCCAGAGTGTCGACGAGGCCAACGGCGCGTCAATCCTTCGCCAGCTCGACACAGAGAAGCTTCGCTCCCTTCTGAAGCGAAACTACCTCCAGGGCCCCGGGAATCAGGGAGAGGAGTTTTTCTCTACACAGACTACCTTGGAAGAGGCCAAGGCTGGGGTACCCAGTTGCGCGCGGCCCTCGAGATGAACGTTTTCAATCCGGAGAGCCCGCTCAAGGAGATGGAGCTTGATGACATTGAGGCCATGAAGGAAAGGTACATGAACACAAAATTCCTGCTGAATCAGAGCAGGAATCCTTTCCCAGCCTCTTTGCTGCAGGAGCTCCCCACCTTGGCTGCTTTGCAGCGTGAGGGCGAACGAGTCGCCCGGGACTCCGGCGAGGGGCTGTCGTCCACAGGTGCCTTTGGCCCTGAGGAGCAGTCCCCGGAGGCAGTTCTGGGAGTTCCAGTGGGCTCGGTCGAGTTCCAGATCCTTCGCCTCAAACGTATCATCGAGTTGCACATGGGGGAGCAGCGCATGATCGGGGGCAAATGGAAGCAGCTGCCTGGACCCCTCGAGGCCCCGACGTGGGCAAAGCCTCTCCCCGAAGGGGAAAAGCTCATGCTGGAGATGAGGACTCACCCCTGCTCCTTCAGACAGCCCTTCTTTGAGCCGATTGCCCTCACCGCCCCCTTTGAACAAAATCATCGGCCCGTTCCATGCTGAGGGGGAAGGGAATACCCACTGGCAAAAGGAAGTGCAGACGTGGGACTTGGTCAGCCTCTTCTCCTGCTTTGGCCACACCTACTCGGCCAGGCACCTTTATGCAGTGTGGAGCCACCTTCCGATTACTATCAGGGCCCACAAAAGAGGGGCCAAGAACAAGCAACAGAACTTGCAGCGACGAGATGACCATCGCGAATTGATGAAGGAGGCCAAAGAGTTTGTGATTCTGCATGACCTCCCGGTGCCTACGACGAACCAGGAGTGGAAGCAGCTCTACCGTGAAATCGGATCATTTTTCGCTGCCAAGGTCTTCATCAACCGCACGCCGCAGGTGGTCCTCGACCTCCCTGTAGCGGACATCCATGACTCCAAGCAGCACATGCGACTGCGAGCCGTATGTGATGAAAGGATCACCCTGCCGTTGAAGGCCTTCCGTGACTTCCCGGAGATCTACAACTCGCTCTCCCACTCTTTGGGGCAGGACTCGGTGGTGGAGGTCAAGATGGCGTGGCGCTGCAACACCGTGCAGTGGTGGACAGCCCGCCTCAAGCCAGAGTACGCTGGCCCCATCTACCGGAAGCTTGGCGACTCGGAGAGCCACATCAAAGGCCTCGGCTTGGGGAACATGGACGCCTCAGCTGCCTTTGGCGCTGAAAGGATCCCTCTGGACCCCGGGTCGGAGCAGGAGCGCTCCCTCCCGCCCATCACTCCAGACAACGTTTCGAGTGTGGCCTCGGACGACTACAAGAGGAAGAACGTGGGAGACAAGACTGCCCACGTGTTCTGGGCCAAGATGGAGTGTGGCCTGGTCCTCAGCTCCGTTTCCCCGTGGGAAATCGTTGACAAGAAGAAGGGTGAGACTCGTGGGGGCTACGTTTGCCGCCACTGCAAAGGATTCTGGCGAAGTGGCAGAGGGGCCAGCCGTTTCCTTCTCATCACGGGGGAGCACAAAGGGAAGTCGGCCCAGCTCCAGCTCATCCTGGACGAGCCCCCCCAGCACCTCTACGAGGCCTGGGTGAAGGACCGGATCGAGTTTTACAAGAGGGTGGAGCCCACGGCGGCCCCCCGCGATCGCTCCCGCCGTGTCAACCCCAGCCTCAGCTCCAGGCTCCGGTTCAGCAAGACGAACCTCATGGGCCAGGTCTCCGACATGATCTGGTCGGTGGTGCTCTCCAACCCAAAACGGGATGGCCTCAAGAAGATCCATGAGCTTGCGGCATCCCGGGTCCGCCCGGCCTGAGCCCTGCCCTTTTTGAAGAAGGCACGTGGAGGGGAAACCCCTTCCAGGTGCCTATGGCCCTGAAGGGGGTTTCCTCTCCCTTCGGGTTTCTGTTGCTTTTCTCTGAAGGTCTTTGTGCCTTTCACCCTGAGGTGACCGGTATTAGTGATTGTACCTACAGTGCTCAGGACTCGGGCCATGTCACAGGCCTTTTCTTCGGCAAGAGGAATCCCATTGCGGGAAGGGGAGGGACTTTGGCCCTGACGGTTCCCCCCTTTTCCTCAAAAAGGGGATGGACTACTTGCTCGACCTGCCGGCCTACAGACCATCGCCTCGTGCGAAAACAAGGGCACTTGGATTGCATTGGGCTATTCCTTTCTCTCTCTCTCTCTCTCTCTCTCTCTCTCTCTCTCTCTCTCTCTCTCTCTCTCTCTCTCTCTCTCTCTCTCTCTCTCTCTCTCCTCTCTCTCTCTCTCTCTCTCTCTCTCTCTCTCTCTCTCTCTCTCTCTCTCTCTCTCTCTCTCTCTCTCTCTCTCTCTCTCTCTCGCTCTCCCTCTTTCCCTTTTTCCCGTAGTCTCCTCGGCTCAGGATGACTGCCTTTGTATTTTGCTGCCCGTCCCCTTTTGGGCGGGCCCTGGCTAGGTCCCCGGACCCTCTCATCTCTGCTCTCTTCGAGCAAAGCATAGGCCCCCTTCAGTCTGATGGCGAGGTTCTTGCAGGAGTGCTCCTAGATCCGATTGTCAGGGGGTCGGGCCAAGCCTTTGAGGAGGAACAAGTGGACGTGGCGCGGCCCTGGGGGCAAGCAATTGTGGATTTTATGGCCCGCTGTAGGCCTACTCAGGACTTGGACCGGGTATTAGGCGTCCCCGAAGGGCCGCCCCGACCGGTGGTCCTCTCATACCGCCCTACCCGGGTCTTCCAGTTGATCGTGGAAAGGGCCCTCTCTCTCTCTGCAGGGGAGGAGGATGTCGAATTGCTCCTCAATTGTGTTTGGGACCTTTGCACTAAGGTTGCTGCAGGCTCTCCTTCTCACCTGTTTTCAGAAGTGGTCCAACGGAGGGCAGAACGAGATCGCCTCGAGTGGCGAGAACTTCGAGAAGGGGTCTTGGTTACCCCTTGTACGGTGAGCCGGTGGCGACATTGGAAGCCGGGCAATGTATCCGAACACCAGTCTACCAACCAGCGGGCCCTGGAACGTGGCCTACGGGAGAAGTGGGGGGAAAGGCTCCTCTCGTACCTCCTGCCGGCTGCAGGGCGGATCCCGCATATGGCGGCCATAATGCCCTTGGGTACCACGCTCATCTCTCTCGAGCTCAAGGGGGAGTTCATGGATCTCTTAGGAGATGCTAGGTTCCGCACTCTCAGGATGAGATGCCTCTTCTATGAAGAGCTCAGGCGCCTTGGTTTCACTGCCATACCCTGGAAGGAACAGGATGTTCGTTCTCTCCTCAACACTCTCCGGGATCAGGAGGTGTCCCCTCACAAGCTTCAGCAGGTGTGGGACACCCTCAGGTGGTTTGGTAAAAAGTTCGGGCTCCTTGCGGTCGACGAGGTCTTTCGGCTCACTGAGAAGAAGAAAGCCCTCTCGGAGTCCTTAGTTAGCACGGTGCACCGTCCGATGCGGAAAGCTCAGGTCCCCTCTAAGTCCTTTGTGGTTCAGGCCGAAGAGGTGGCGGCTCGCCCGCTTTCTAGCTCGGCCACAAGAATCGAGCTCATGGATGCCTTCATCTGCGGCATTGCAAGGTTCCAGCTCGGCTCCAGTGCCCGCTTTAGTGACCTCCAACATACCAGCCCGGATACCCTCAAGGTGACCTCCTCCACCATCGAGTTTTCAGCATGGCAGACCAAGACCCATTCGGCAGTGGCGATTCACAAGAAGCCCGTCCCTCTCATCTGCCCCAAGTACTCCTTCTCGGGCAAGGACTGGTGGACCCCTCTCCTCTCCACCTGGCGCAAGCTTGCGGCGACGCCCATGTTCGATGCCATGGACTACCTCATCCCGACAGTGGGTAAGGATTATGACGGCTTCATCGCGAGACCCGCAACCTCTCAGCGCGCTCTGAACTGGTTGCGCTCGGCTATGTCCAGACAGGAAATCGACAAGGCCCTGTGGGAGGGCCTCACATGGCACTCCTTCCGTGTGTTCATGCCGGACTGCGCCTTTCAAGCCCCACGTTCCTCGTGACCAACGACAGTACCTTGGGAACTGGATGGCGGAGAGTACTGCTGATGTCTACACCCGGGAGAAAAGAGGAATGTGGTCTGTGCCATCTGGGAAAAGGTCACCTCAAACCTGGAAAACATCGACACGGCGGGCACCCGCACCTCTGTCATCGACCTCTCTCGCGAAGAACCGCAGCACCCCCAGGACAGTCCTGCAGCTGTTGGGCCCCCAGTCGCAGGTGCCAACGGCCCTGAGGGGGGGAGCCCTCCTCGTCCATTGCAGGGCTCATCCCCTCACTCTCACAATGCAGACGCGCTGTGGGCTGTGGCTGGAGCCCTTCCATGGACAAGGTTGAGGCCCTGAACGCCATTGACTACCAGGGCGACGTGGATTCTTACAACCTGTGTGCTAGGTGCTTCCTCCAGTTCTCTTTGCCGGCAGAGTTTCGAGTGGAAGATCCCCCTCCTGCGGGAGAATCCAGTGAATCAGCCTCCTCAGGTAGTCTGACTGACGACTCCGTGCACGGCCTCGGAGGCGGAGAAGGTCACCTACCAGGACCTTGACAAGGCTCTGGCCTCCCAAGGCCAGCCTTAGATGGACGACATCTTTCAGTTTTGGGGGTTCATTTGTGCCGCCCATCCTTCGGCTTCGGCTTCTTTCTGGACGGCACAAAATTTTGGGACTCTTTTCTGTACAAGGAGGGTTCCCGATCCCCAGGTGCCGTAGGCCCTGAAGGAGGGGACCCTCCTCCGTTTCGAACGATCTCTTTCTAGACTGAGGTCTTCGACCGAAGGAACATCCGGGAGTCGGCAGCCACACCAATCCACCATGCAAAAGAGGTCTTGCGAGCATGGTGCTTTTGGTGTGCCATTTTCATGCGGATTTCTGACATTAGTTACTTGCTACCAAGGCTTGCCGACTTGCAAGACTTATGTCAGGAGACGTCTGCCAAAATGGCTCTGCCATTTTGGCCCAAGATCGTGGACCGTGGGTCCTTCTAAATTTGTTACCCGCCCGCCCTTCCCGATGGCAGCCGCAGCCACTCTGGCCAAACCCCCTGAGGCCATCCCGGATGCTTATGCCGACAACATTGCCGAGCTCCACTCGTCTGTGGCCACTCTGTTTGCAAGAAAGCAGATCCCCTACTCGGTCCAGGCAACACTGGCCAGGGAAGGGTACATAACTCTCGAGGACATTGCCGACCGCTGGGATGATGCGTCGGCTGCCCGAACCCATGGCCCCAGGGATCTAGGCTTTGCAAGCGGTGCCAATGGCTTCACAGATCAAAGCAGCGCTTTCACTGCCATGCGCCTCTTTCAGGCAATCAAAGCGGCTAAAGACATGACCAAGAACCTCTATGCACCTCGCTCCAGTGTCACTCCTGGCCAGGCCTCTACGGATCGCTCAGGCCTCCAAATGCTGTGTGACCGGCAGCAGCTCCTTTCAGATTGGACTAAGGAAACGGGGCTCCCGAAGCCCAAGCTTGAAGCCCAGGGGAGTGACAACCTTCTCAAAGCTCAGTTTCGTTTCTGCTCCAAAGGGGAACTCGGCTTCATCAATGCGAAATACATCATCAGTGCCTTACCAGAGCTTGAAGAAAAGCCGTTTAAGACAAGGCGGAAAGTGACGGTAGACGGCTGGGACAAAGAAGAAGAGGAAGAGGAACGGAAGCTCCCGACTACCAGGAGACACCTGGAACGGATGCACCGCGTTTTTCGCAACAATCTCTCGATGTGCCTCCTCGCTTTTCCCCAGTTCTCTCAGTTTGACGCCTCGAAGCATGATCTTGATGATTGGTATCATGGAGAGCCATTCACAACCTAGTCTATGAGGGCAAGTCGCTCAAGGAAGCCATGATGGAAGTCCGTGCAGATGCCCTCTTTTGGACAAGGGAAGTCTACGAGCGTGTGCCTCGGCCTGGCGAGAAGGGCCCTAAGGGCACCCCGAAAGGTGAGAAGGGCACCCCCTTCGCCAAGGGTCCAGGCAAGGGCCCATGGAAAGGCAAGCAAGCCTGGTCGGTGTACCAGCCCTTTCTCAAGCAATCCACCAAGGGCAAAGAAGGCAAGAAGGGCACTCCCAAGGGCAAGGGCAAGGACTCTTGGCCCCTGAATTGGTCCCGGAACAATCCGAAGGGCACCCCCTTTTGCAGAGATTACCACATTAAGAAGCAGTGTCCTGGCAACTGTGGACGCTCCCACAACTGTCCTGTCACCAAGGACGGCTGGGTGTGTAATGCCCCTCCGAATGAGCATAGTCCTGACAACTGCCCCTACAAGTGAGGACCTCCGGTCCCAGGTGCCTTCGGCCCTGAACTTGGGGATGTGTCGGAGTCGGTGACGCACGTCGCCCCCTCCACATCAGGTGCCCTTGGCCCTGAACGACGACAAGCACGGGACAGATCGCGATCCCCCCGTGGCCGTGGGAAGCCTGTCTCCACGCCAGGTGGGAACACCACGCATGCGGGCCTGCAGCCCTCCAGTAGTGCTCTCTCGGATGACAAGCAAACTGTTCTCCCGAATTCCCTGACCGCCTGGTCCAGAGACTCCTCTGGTCTCCTTCCGAGTGCACGGCCAGCATTCCTCATGGTGCCATCATCTTGCCATTCGCGGGTCGGGAGGATGCCTCCTCTCTGGAAGCGATCCTTCATGCTCAAGCCCCGGAACTCTCCTCGCGGGTTCTTGCTTTTGATTCCTCTAGGAAACCCTCGGGTAAGGACCTCCTTAACGACACCCTGTTTGGGTCTCTCTGTGCCTCGGCTCTGCAAGGAGACATCTCCTTTGTGGGAGGATGTCCGGATCTCAAAACCTGGGGGTTGGATAGATGGTTCCAGGATTCAGGTACTTTCCATGCACTTAGG